TGATTTTTGCTCTTGATGATAATCTCACACATATAATTTCTATTTAAAGTAATTAAGGGAAATTTTCCAAAAAAAATTAAGATTAATGATTACTTGTTCCCAAGAAGAGAATGAAGGTTGATGATGGTTTGCTCTTCCTCAGCTGTGAAGTTTCCTCTTTTGATATCTGGTCTCAAGTAATTAGTCCATCTCAATCTGCAACTCTTCCCACACCGGTTTAAACCGGCTTGCTTGGGTAGAGCTCTCCAGCTTCCATGGCCGTGTTTTCTTATGTGATTTATCAATTTCTGATCTTCTTCTGGCGTCCATGGCCCTTTCTTTAATCCGCTCTCATCGCAACACGGTGATCTCCCCATTTTGTTATAACATCTAGTTATTAACTGTACCTGGACAACATTTTAACAAAAGAAAAGAGAAAAGAAACGGGATTAATCAGAAGCACAATATATATATATATATATATCCTTTATGTTTAAACACACTTTTGCTAAGAAATCGGATTTCTGATTACATAGGAGATTGTTGAGTGAGCAAACAATTACATATAATTAATATATACCTTTGAGGTAGAGAGATAATTGAGAAGAGAGAAAATGGTGAAGGCAAGATCTTAGTTAATAAGGCTAAGTGTTTTTGTTCTTTGCTTTATTTATAGAAACATAGAAGAGGCTTTCGTCTTTGTCTTGTGTCTTGTCGGAACAAGATCTTAGTTAGCTCTTGTGACGTGTCCATTTGACTTTAATCAAATCAAATAAGTAAAATGATGAAAATGCCCTTTGATGAAACTAGAAGAAAAATGATGAGAGGAGAAGGAGATGTTCAAGTTTGTGAAGCAATGTGTGGAATAAAAGTTGCTGCAACTAATTCATGTTGACAATGTAAGTTTCTCAAACTTTTAAAAAGTATGAGTATAAAAAAGTTAGTTACTTACAAGAGCTAAATGCTCAAAGAATCATAGAATATAACTCTCGTATTAGTTTAAATAACAGTTTCAGTAAATATTCAAAACTACATGAAAATTTAATATATATATACATTAATAAAATTTTAAAATGCAGCATAATTTTCTTTAGCAAACAAATGCAGCATAATTTTTAGTTGTTGTGTCGCCACCCCAATTCAGCCCGGACATAATATATGTTACTGATAAAAATTAAATAATACATATGGATTTTGAGCTGTGATCGTGTATGTTTATGTACGATTGGATTCTATTCAAATAATTATGTGGAATAATTTATAATGTTAAGTTGGCACAACATATTGCCCAAGAGATATAGACAGTGCCAACAATAGTATGGATTACTGCTCATTGGTCAACTAATGACACATCTCAACCATATACACATCAGATCCAAATAAAGTCAAATTGTATAATTGAACCGCGTTCGAACCAGTCACTAAACTAAATATAATTTTTAGTTTAAGAAAAGATACCTCTTATCATCAACTTAATACTACTACGTACGTAGATATATTTAACAGAATTAATCTGTTTTTTTCCACACACATTAGAAAAGGGTAGATGATCTATAGTATACTTATCTTTAACAAAAAAAATTACCCGTTTATCATTTCAAGTAAAACTTAGCAATTGTTTTGTCTGAATTCATAACTTCATTCAAAATGATAAAATTAGAAATTAGAAATTTCAAGAAAAAAAAAGTTACATAACAAAATTATAAAAGGACACTATTCATTAATACATTAGCGATACTATCTATAAGTATTTTTCAAAAAGGTTTTTTTCCATGAAATATTTGTTTGTACGGTGGATATTATACTTTTAGTTATATAATATTTCATAGATTAAAATTTTATGAAATACACATACACATTTACATTCCTTGTTTCAAAACGTTTTTTTTTATCAAGGTCTCGTTATGGTTGTTCATTATTGGTATAAATCTAGTTTTAAGCACATTAAGACACGCAAACTATTTTGTTCGAGATCACAAACCGATGGGACCCTCCAAAACCCTAATACTGATTTTTTCTTGATTATTTATTTAAATATTTCTACGTGGCTTTTGTATGTATTGCTGACATCATTTTTTAATATGAACAAACGTTGAGACATCCAAACGTATCGCGTGGTTTTGATCAATTCAACTGTGAACCGGACATAAACGACTGGCTTTATATGATTGTTATAATATTTCCATTAGTTAAACATAAAATAACTAAAATTGTTATAAAAAAGTTCAATTAAGAAGATAAATCTCTACCTAGTAATTTATCAATATTTTCAAAACATCTAATTAGTGTCTTAACTCTTAATTATTTTGTGTATATACTAGGATTGTTCATAAACCTAGAAATTCAATGGTGATGAAAAAAAAAATGCATTGGTTATAGAAGCTTCAACTCGAAAGTTATTATATTCAAATAATTTAATAGGCAATGTTGTTTTTCCAAGAAATCAATTTCTATAATATAAACAGTACACAACACATACATGATAGACTATATATATTAAATCAATTCAACTTTGAAATCTCAATTAGTTTAATTTTCTTATCATTGACACGAGAAGAAAGTAATAGTTTGTACATAGAAGTTTCCAACTAATCCGAACGCGACAGCATTCCCACAATTGATATACCTACAGCCAAACACACTTTATAATTCGTCTTCGGTCTTACCTAGCTAAGGACTTAATCTTGATTAATACCTTGCTGATAAAGTGCAATTTATAGGTGTTTAACAAAGTTGCAAGTACAAAATTTACATGCAATATGTAATCGATTGATAAGATGATGTTGAAAGATGAAACTAGTTCTTTCATAAGAAGAATATCCCTTTCTAACTCTCAAATAAAAAAACTTCCCAAAAGAATTAATGCTAAAATAAAATCTACTAAAATTAATACAACGACAAAACTAAATTATCCTAATCTATAGAACCATTTTCTCTATAATGCACAACCCAACGCCATAAAATTAGAAATACGGACGTTAATCCTTTTTATGTGTTTAATATACATACATGTACACGGCAAGTATAATAGAATCAAGTATAATTTGTGTATTATTGTATACGTACACATTTGATTAAAACATCAATATTTGCTAAAAGACAAAAAGAAAGAATACACTCACGCAAGCCAAAACCTGATTGTATGTTGCTACTTGCTATAATACTCGTAGTTACAAAGCATAACACAAAATAACTTGCATAGTAATTAATCAACTTAATTATCTCTTACGAGCCATGCAATATACGTAACGTTACGTACGGTCAGACTTAGAGAAAGAATTTTTTTCATGCACTGTCACTAGTGGACGAAACCAGATTTAATCATATGATGCTTATGTCTATTATTATTCTATGAACTTATCTGTGAGTTATGGCGTTCTGCAATTGATCACCACACGAGCAATTAGATTTTTAGTCTCCATAATAAAAGAATGCAAAAATCTCTAATACATGAATGCAAAACATTTACTACATGCCTGGCGTTAGAATCTATCGATCATCTAGAGGTTATCATTTTTGTTCGATTTAGTACAGAGAAACAACCTAGCCGAAACAGAGCATAGTCTTATACACTTGTTCTGTTAATGGGCCCTGGTTAGATTATTCCTCTGTATTGTTCCACGTTTTGGCTTGCGATGATCTCATAGCTTTCATCCTCAATTACGACAAATGGTTTGAGAGGAATAGCATATGTTATTGATTAAAATACACTATTAACCATTTAACCTATATATGTACCCAAAAAAAAAAAAAAATTAAGATCAGATTAAACACCTTTAATAAAGATGATATCACACAAACATATAGCGTCATTTGTAGTGAGAAATTTGTATTTCTTTACGTATAAGATTTGATCTGGCACATTTGTAAAGTAGATAGATTAAAATAAGATATTTTAAAAATGTTCATAATTAAGAAAGAAACGTTTGGATACAAATACCTTTATTTGCTTTTTCGTTTCAGCTACTCAGCAATATAACACAAAAAGTTGATATAAAAATGTATACACACTACAAGTAAATTGTATATATTTCTCTTACCTTAGATATATGCAATCGCTCACATTCATGACTTGAAAAATAATTTGATTTGGAATATCTATTTTTCTCCGCAACATTTTTCTACACTTGAGATTGGCCATTGATGAATGAAAATACATGTAGCAACTCATATTTGAACTCAAATCTGACAAAATTGAAATACTCTTCTAATCGATTTGAAAATAAAGTGAACGAGATGCATATACTTAGTACTCAAATACACTCATATGAATCTGCTTCAGTTACACAACATTAATTAAGGATAATTTGGTCAAATTTTATTGTTTATACAACCAAAATAAAAAAAATAAAAAAAATCCCATAAGATGTAAATTAAACGTTTATCACGACGTAGCTAAATTAAAGATGAATGGAACAGATGAACAATCATATCTCTTTTACCTTCTACGTATACTTTAGTTAGTAAACATAGGTTTCGTTAAACTAGAGATTTGTCTATTTTTAAGCAACGAATTTACTTTTTTCGACTTTGTTATCCGTTCGAAAGTCAAAGATTATGAAACACAACTGACTTTCTTGCAATGTCTAAAGCTCAACTTTGACTTTATAGGATAGGATTAGGACCATATAACCGTGAGATTAAACTTGTTAGTGCTGTCCGGTTAAAACTAATTATCCAAAAGTTACTTAACGTGTAAAACTTGCATTGCAAGATACCTACCGGTTTTTGAATAACCAATATTAGCCGGTAAAGCTTTTCGTCATTAAGTTCTACACAGTCAAAATATTTGGAAGAATCTAGCCACCAGTTTATTGTATAATTAAGCACGATTGTTTAATTTTGCAATAAATAGCTAAAATTAATGAAACCAAACAAACGCAGTCGTTTTCAGTTTATCGGGCCTGGGCTTGGTTGTTTAAGGGTTGGCTGTTTATGAAATGACCCAATTTTATACTTGCGAATAACAATAAAAAATTGTTCGCGTTTGAGAGGCCCTTTGGACGTAGTTATTTTATCCTCGAATTATTTATTATTTATTTACGTAATGCAAAATGAAATCAATTGCCAGATTTACAGTATAACGAGCAAGAATAAACACAAACCAAAAGAATTTTCTGGGTACAAAAGAAGTTGAAGAACAGATAAGCCAACAAAAAATCGAAAGAAGAAAAGAATAATAAACCAACAATTTAACACAGACCTATTTCAGAAGCCACAAACAAAATAAAAAAATAAAAGAAGAACACCAACGAAGAAATCAATATGGTGCAAAGAGATGTGTATATCATGTAATAGCTAGATTTTGCAATACCTCAGAAAATGTAGTAATAAAGAGATGCTTTCATTTATTTCTGAATCACGGGTCCTTTCTTCTTGAGAAGATTCCCAACTTTACCAAACAATGTCTTCTTCTTCTTCTTTTCCTGTTCCTTCACCAGTTCATCTTCTCCGGTTAATCCATTTACAGGTGAAGTTTTCTCGCTTTGGTCTATCACGTTTAAGTCTTCCTCTTCTTCTTTTGCAGACTCTTGTTCTGGTTTTCCCTTGTGGAAAACTTCTTTCTTCTCAATCTGACAACTTTCCCACATTTTGAATTCAACTTCAACTGTCTCATCATCCGGAGAATGTTCTTTCTTTTCCTTCTTCTCACTGTCCTCCTCAAGTTTCATGGTCATGCCATCGCGGGTTTTTACTTTAGAAGACTTCTCTTCTGCATTTCTATTACCATTTTCCTCAGAAAACTCGACCACCTTTGGAAGCAAGTCATACTCTTTTTCACTCTCACTGAGCTCACCGTCCTCTTCTGTATGTTTCTTGGCTAATGCTTCTTCGAGTAACTCCGATAGCTCCTTGATCTTCTTCAGAGAATCATCCTGTTTCACTCTGAGTTCATCGTTCTCTTGAACAATGCTTTGAAACTCAGTTTCTTTATCCAACATCTTCCCCTTTAGTTTCAAGGTTTCAGCTTTCGCTTCCCGGAGAGTTTCCTGAAGATAAATCACCTCATCTTCCACTTCTTTAAGGCTATCTCTCATTTGGGATTCTTTTTCCCATGATGCATCAGCTTCTTCCTTTGTCCTTTTAACCAAATTTCCCAACCTATTCATTTCTTTCCCCATTGAAGAAACTTCTTCATCAAATTCCTTCACGTGATTCACCAAACCGGCTTCTCTCATTTCCCAATCTACCATTGCGCTTTCGAACTGTTTCTTGGTTTGTTCTACCGCATTGACAAGAACATCGATCTCATGTCTTGCCTCATCAAGCATATTCTCATACTTCTTGTTCGTTGCTTTAATGACCAACTTCAGATCTTCTATCTGTGTTTCATAATCCTGATCACCTTGATTCAGCAATTTTTCTTTTAACTCGCGTGATTCACTTGACACTTCGTGCAATGCTGAAGCTAAACTCTCCATTGCTTTCTTACTCTTCTCCTCTTCCTCCTTCGAGCTCTCCAGTTCTGACAAGATCTTCTTTTTCTCTTCCAAGAGCCTTTGAACACTTGAAGCAGCATCTTGCTCCTTCCTTAAAGCCTGGTTCATCTCTTCATTCACAGTTTCAAGCTCATTCTTTAGTTTCTCTGCTTCTTTCTCAATCTTAGATGATTCTTCTTCTGCAATACCTAGCCGCTGTTCAGATTTCTCAAGATCAACCTTTTGTCTAGCAACTGTCATCTCCAATAACTCAATTTTTTCCTTAAGATCAGTCATTTCAGATTCGATATCGTCCAATCTACTATTGCTTGCCTCCAGCTGCTTTGTCACAGATACCAGAGATACCGAGGCAGATCTCTCCAGCTCGTTAGCTTCTTCCAACCGTTTCTCCAATTCTTTCGCTTTCTTTTGCCACTCGTCAGCAAAGCCGTTCGCATAAGATTCTGCCATCTTCGCAGCTTCTAAGTCAACATTAAGCTGCTCAATGATCATCTCTAGTTCCTTGACCTTTGCTTCCAAACTTGTCGCTTTCTCAAGGTCTCTTTTTAGATCCACTATCTCCGCTCCTAGTTTTGAAGCAATCTCATTCTTGGAGATGGTTTCCTTCTCTCGGGTTGAATCAAGCAAAGCCTTCAACCGGATTAACTCTGATGACAAGATTTCCACTTTCTGTGCATGAATTGCAGCCATCTTACTAGCATCATCTGCATGACTCAAAGCCTTACTCTTGGCGTCATTAGCATAAGCCAATTCTTGATTGACATTCTCCAGCTCCCGGGTTACCAAAAGAAGAGTAGCTGATTCTGAAGCATGTTGGTTCTTGACATTCTCTAGTTCTTTCTTCAATTCTTCTTCTTTCCTCTGAACCGCCTCTATCCCCGCCTCAACAACCTCAAATTTCTCAATTTCAAAGTTCTCTTGGGCCTTTTTCTGAGCTTTTAAAGCCTCATCTAGTTTGTCAGATGCCTCTTCAGCTTCTTTCCGCGCTTCTTTAAGTTGATCAAGTGCTTTAGCTTTTTCATTCTCAAGCGATGCTATCAGCTCATTGGCTTTCCTCAAATCTTCCTTGATTTGAACTGACCGAGGTTGTGTTTCTGATCCTTTCACAGCCCGTATTTGAGTTTTCTGCAAACAATCATTAGACAACAACAATGGATATCAACATTTGCAGCATAGTGTGTCAAAACTAAACCAACTTAATACCAGGAAACAAAAAAGCTTCCTCAATTCAAGATATCGAAAAAGATACTGAATATTGACACACTTACTTCTGGTGGGGTTCGAGCTTTGGGCGACCTCTTATCAGTAGAAGGCTTTGAATTAGAAGAAGAGCGCTCAAACGAAAGCCGTGACTGTTGTTGAGTCGGTGAAGGAGAAGTAGATTCAGGTTTAGTCACTATCCGAGTAAGTCTAGGCACTCTTAGAGATGCTGGAGATGATTTTCCCAAAGTAGTTTCAGATAAACCAGTTCTGCTTCAGAAAACAACAATGGTCTCTCATCAAACAAGCAAAAGAAAACACGTGAGAATCAATTACACTTGATTAAAAAAAATAAACTGTCCATACACAGAACATAAGAGTAGCTCATGAGTAACGGTCTCAATAACATGGATTTTAACAACAACAAAAAAATTTCTAGTTTTGTGTATCTATCTAGATTGAAACAAGAACTACACAATTTGTGTCTCACTCTAGTGAACTATCTCACGTTAAATACAACAGCCGAATCAATAAAGACTTAGATTAACAAAATTGGAAAGTAGAAGAGAAGACAAATAAAAATCAAGATAAAGACGACGACAACAACAACAACAACGAACTCTGCCATGGATTTATTTTTTCTTTTAAATAAGTGAAGCAGCAGCTTAATAAGATTAAAAAATCAATCACACAAAACGGGAACAATCAGAGAATGTGCTACAAATAGAATCCCTAAAAATCAGGAGATTAAACCCTAAACCCAAAACTAGTCAGATCTACCCACATCATCATAGACAATCTCTAACAATGAAGAAAGAAACCTCAAGAGAAAAAGATAAACCCAGATCGGAATATGAATCGACCAAATATTCCCACCGACATAAAAAAGGATCGGAGGCTGAATCTCAATAAGGAAGAAGACGCTTACTTTATCTTGGAAGCCATAATCACAGTCTCCGTTTCGCTGCGGATCAGTGACATGTAAATCATATTAGAGGAGGCAATGAAGGAACTAAGAAATACAGATTCATTATTAAATTTATGAATATTGAACCTGTAAATCTCAAATTTGCTCGAATTCAAACTGTGTTTCCATTTTTAGCGTAGAGATGAAGAGAGAGAGACAATGATTCGGATCATCGGATTAAGGAAACGATTGATGAGAACCTAACGTAGGAGAAAAATGATACAAGTTGGTGAGGTTTTGTCTCACGAGTGGCCACACTCCTAAAAAGTGAAAAAAGCAAACTATATAAATAAATGAATTGGTAAAAAAAAAAACAACAAAAGATCCGATTCGCTTTCCGGTTATCCTACGTGCGTGATAAACGCAAACAATAACGTATTAATAATCGATTTATTTATCATAAACTAAAAACGTGTGATTAGGAGGAATAAAAAAGACTAGTCTTCCCATAGCTAATGTGAAAATACTCGAAATTGTTTAGGAAAATTTTCTACAGCTTATGAAAAACGATTGTTATTTTTTGTTACTAGTAACAAAAGTTTTACTGATGCAACAAGAGAAATTTCCTAAAATATGTAACCAATTTCTTCGCACCAACTTTTGTTATAATCGCATTTTCTTGTTGAATATATCTCGGGTCTCTACCATTAGGCAAACTTTTATATCGGGCCCAGTGGGCCATATTTATTAAGGTCCATTTATGAACCGCAAGAAGGACTGGGAGTCTAATTCCACATGCCAAAAAGCTCCTGCCATAAAAAGCAGTTTAGTAAATCGAATAATCATTATGATATTTCGGACTTATTATTAGACAAAAAAAATAAAAATTCACTTGGAAAACTTTTAAAATTGGTCGCGGGAAAATTAGAGAGAGTTTTGGCGGGACTCTATATCCTTTTTCCATTAGTTATTATTAATTAATTTTTGTAATTAACTTGAGAATAAGAAAAGTTGAAATTTGTAATTTGTAGATATTAAAAGATATGAGAATTTAGTAATTTCCAGAAACTTATTAGAAGCGGTGGATCGAACTCACTTCCGTTGAAGCGACGAGCGTTCCATTAGGGTTTCGATTCAACATCAACAAACGAGAGAGAAAACATGTACGGAGGCGAGTTTGACGGCAACGCTGCTTTCGCCGGCGGCGGTTTCATGCCTTCTCAGGCAACTACGCAAGCGCATGACTCCTCATCGTCCCTCAAGGTTTGCTCTCTCTAAATTATCTTCTCAATCGAGGAATTCGAAAAATCCTTTCCGCGTTTTGTGTAATCGAAGTTCTCTATACCTAGTTCTATGTATCTGATTCTCTCGATTTCTAGTCGTTTCTCGGTCAAATCAGCAGGGAAAAGTTATGATAGTTCCATTCGAGTTTTCTAGGAATGTGGATTTATCTGTGGATTTTGAATCTTATCATAAATCTATACATGTTAAGAAAAGTAATTGTATGTTTGTGGAGTTGTGAATCTAGATATAGAGATCACAAATGAGCACCATTTTACTTGAGCAGTTCAGCAATGTATGAGTGTTCACCATTGTTTTGCAGAACCGCGATGTACGTACCTTGCTTCCCCTGACACTGAAGCAGTTGAGCAGCGCATCAACTACTGGTGAATCAAATTTCTCTATTGATGGCGTTGATATTAACACTGTAAGCTCTTTTTCTTCTTCTTCTGCAGTTAAACTTGTTTGCTGATAACGTCATGCCTTAATCTCTATTGTTTCAAGCATTTTAGCTTTGGTGCTATCTGTGTATAGGTTGCCATTGTTGGACGGATTTCTAGAATGGAGAACAGAATCACTCAGGTCGATTTTGTTGTTGATGACGGTACAGGCTGGGTTGATTGTGTCAGATGGTAACTACTTATATACTAATGCTAATTGAACCTCAATATGAAAATGCTATCATAAAAGAGCTCAACTATATCTCTTGCTAATTCATTGTGGACCACTATCTGCAGGTGTCACGAGCGTCAAGAAACCGAAGAAATGGAAGCAGTCAAGTATGTGTCTGCTGTACATTTGTAGAATCTTTAATTTGGTATACTTTATAAATTTTTTTGATAGTCCACATCTGTTACAGGCTGGGAATGTATGTTCGCTTACATGGACACCTGAAAATTTTTCAAGGGAAGCGAACTGTGAATGTTTTCTCAATCAGGTTTGTTTTCCTGACATACTTTCTCGATCAGTCTATGATATACTTGGTCAGCAAACCGTTTCCTATTAGGCTTTCTAGATTTGAAATTTCTGTTTGATCTATGATATTTTTTCTCAGTGGCTCAAATATTCTATTTTGCTTTGTCCAAGTAAATGAATTTTCTGCATCTTAAAGATATGTACTTGAGTATAATAATATGCTTTCAGGCCTGTCACTGACTTCAATGAGATTGTACACCACTTTACCGAGTGTATGTATGTCCACATGTACAACACCAAGTTACGGGTATTAGCCTATCCTTCAACGTTATTTTAAGCTTTGCTCCACAGCTTAAAACTTCTCATGTTAGATACTAACCTCTGTTACTTCAGGGTGGCTCTATTACTCAGGCTACTGCTACTCCTAGGCCCCAAATGCCATATTCAACAATGCCAACCCCTGCAAAGCCATACCAAACCGGTCCATCTAATCAGGTATTAGAGAAATCCAATCTAGAATCAAATTTTATATGCTCTTTTGTGGCCTTTTTAAGTTACTGAAGAATCTTTTTCAGTTCCCGAACCAATTCAATGATCCAATGCATGGTGTAAAGCAGACAGTCTTGAATTACCTGAATCAACCTATGCACCTGTAAGTACATCTACTATCCCGTATCCCCAAAAGAACCCCCATTAACTTGTCATATATATCATTCATACATACACCTTTGAATACTCATGATCAAACTTCTGTTCATAAAATAAGCAAATTAACCTCTAAATTCTCTATGAGCCAACCTTGGTTAAGTTATAAGTAAAACTCATTCAACTACCACAAGTATATAAGCCACAAGGCTGATGTTTGATATTATGTTATTGCAGAAGTTGAATGTTCTTGTGTTAGTGATAGGTGTATTACCATATGAAATTCAACTTCTTTCATTTGATTCTCCATCTCTCTCGCTCATCTAAAAGCTTAACTTGAGTTTGATATATGGTCTTTTATATGTTGGATCTATATCAGTGTATCTGAAGCTGGTGTTCACTGTGATATAATTGCGCGTGACCTCGGGATTCCGCTGCCTCAAGTCAAGTAAATCTCTCTCATTCTTACTCTCTATCTCTATCTCCCTCCTCTCACTATTTCTATTTGATAAAGTTACAATATAAACAAAGAATTTTTCTTGACAAGAACTGCTTTGTATCTGTGGCAGGGATGCGTTAGAACAGCTCTCAAACGATGGTTGCATTTACTCGACTATGGACGAGACATGCTTCAAATCGACAGCTAACGCTTGATGAAAATGGATTTATTTCATCACATATCAATCCTCCTCTCATGTTCAAAAGCCTTTTGTATAGACCCTAAGGTACGACAATATGTAGCTTTAAGACTATAAATCTTTCTTATGGCTTTTGGATTTTTAAAACCTTAATTAACTCAAAATTTCAATCAAAAAGTTCAAAATCGTTCATTTCCGTCATTTGATTTCCTTTGTTATACTTGCTAGTGGTCGTGTCAATTAGGTCGGCCCGAATTCCAAATCCCGGTCCAATCTGAATTTTGGGCTGGGCCGTTGATTTTTACTAGTCTTACCTGATTTTTTGCACCGTACCTCGTACGTCTTCTAATGAAAGACTATGATACAAAAACAATTAAGCAGCATTCAGATTAATAATATAGTAAGTAACAACTTGAACTAGTCTCAAAGGTTTTAAAAAAAATCTGATTAAAAAAAAAAGTTGTCAAACAAAATTTTTTTGGTTTTCCTTGTTCGCAGATTTTTGTGACATGACCATAGCAGGTTGTTTCTTGTCGATATGAAATGTTTGTAATAATGTAATGTTTTTAATTGATATGAATATGCAAATGGTCGATTTAAAAAAGGAAAAAAAATAAAGAAGTCAAATAATTGAGATACTAAAAAGAATATACTATTAGTTACGAGTAATTCCGTAGCGTCCTGAATCTCGTTGAGACGTTACACTTACACTTACGTTTTGCTAGAAAGGTACTAATGTTAGTATATATTTGTAAACTTGTATCCCCGACTTTGTTTAGTGATTGATTAGTTTGAATACCGATCTATTATCATTTGTTCATATAAGATTGTTATCGATATTAATTAACTAAGATATTTCGTGATGAATAAGATTAAGTAGATTCTGTGATACATGATTTAAAGACATAATTCACATGAATCTGAAGACCATGGCTTATATTAATCAGCTGGAAATTTAACCATAAACTCAATAACAACCTAAAAACTTATTTAAGATGGGAATCAATCATAAATTTGACATCCAACAATCACAGAACCTCTCTAATCAAATCGATAACAACAAACCGATTGTACGGATACGACGGACGGACTGGTGGGACCCTTACAAGTTGTAAAACTAGTTGTTGTTTGTGTTTTTTTCTTTCTTTTGTCCCGAGAAAAAACCAAACATAGAAAAGCGACGAGAGAGAGAGAGAGACCACGAAGAAATAAAAATCAATCACATGGAGAAGATACGAAAATACGGATATGATCCAAGAAGCTAAGATGCTGAGGCCTATCATTGCGTTTCACATACCCACGCGCTTCGTTTTCCGTATACGCGCCAAACGATCGTCCTCTATTCCTCTTCCACAGCTCTTCCTCGTAGCTTTTATGCGCGTAATAAGCCTCCACTACGCACGACGAAGACGTCTCTGTTTCCAGATCTCCTCCTTCTCCTTCTTCCTCCGCCGCGAGACGGATCTGTTGCCGGATGTAATGACCGCGACTAATCCCTTCGAGCTCGTCGAGACGAGAGAGACCGCGAGGAGAAACAGCGTAAAGCTCGCCAGTAACGTGATGACCTGATCCAGGTTTGTTAAGGAGGAAAGGGACTCGATAAGGTCCACAGACGAGAGGATATTTGTCTAGAGTTTGGTAAACTCCTTTGAAAGAAGCGTCACCAGATCGGATCAGATCTTGCATCAGGACATGATTTGAGAATCCTCGTTTCAGAGTTCCGTACGTGAACACGAGCGTTGTTGTTGTTGTGGTTGTTTTCGCCGGCGTCATTGTTTCGTGTCCCATGATGGCAGAGAGATTAATTGGATAGGGACGGAGAAAGAAGAAGAGATCAAACGGAGAATTTTTGTGTGGTTGGTTGGTTGGTGAAGAAAATAGAATCAGAATCGGAAAGAAAGAGAGAGAGAGAGATAAAGAGAAAATGGAATCTCTGATTTTTAGGGTTTGAAAAAATTGGGTTAACCCGATGACGCGTTTATATAGTACTGGATTTCCTCTGCTCTGCTTATTATTTTATCCTTATTCTCTATTTTTTTTTTTTGCAATATATATATAATAAATTACTATTCAAATTTGTAAACTGTGATTACGTGTGAATGACAAAAATTGATGACCCAAGTTGTAATTTTAACGATTAAATTTGTACGCTGCTTATTAGTATTAAAAAATGTTAATGAAAAGAATCAGAGGAGGTCCACTCGGCTCACTAAGGGCATCATCAATGGAGGATCATGTGAGGGTGTTCTTATAGAGAATATAATGTTAAAATAATATAAGATCATGTGTTTAGATCTTTTGTTTAGAAGTTGATTAGTGGGAGAACATGTGTAAGATCTTAAGACTTAATAATATAATAATCTAAATTAAATTAAGATTTTACAATTATTAAAACATTTAAAAATAACATATAAATTGCAAATGCCAAATTTATGAAAAACTGAAAATAAAAGTGAAAATACAATACTAAATATTTATGAAAAAAACATTAAAAATATAAATAACAATAAACAAACAAACATATTACTTAATAAAAGCACAAAAACATTTTATCTAATTAATACATAGTTTATTATCCAAATTTATTCCAAATATGTTGAATATTCCAACCAATGCCCAAATGCCACGTCACCCCGCAACACCCACAAGAACAGATCCAGGTCAAGAGCCCAGTTCCTGATCTTAAGCCCATTAACCCATTTTTTTGGATTTAAATAATGCTTAGATCAGGGGGGTGATCCCCCAATGCAGATGGTCTAATAGACAAGTATGGCAAACGTCGTATCATATACATCATACATTAGTACAACATATAATATGATAAGGTTGACAAAAAAAAAAAGAGGTTCTTTCGTAAATAAATTTAGATTTTACATATTTTTATGTCGTAGTAGTATTTTTTTGGGGCATATAAAAACAAAAATATAACAATAATTGGCGTGAGAGAAGTTGGTGTGTTTGGGATTACGTGTAGACGCGGACTGTGGCAGCACCACACATTACAGCCAAGTTGCCATTCTTTTATTTAACCTTTATTTGGTTTCAGACAACATCAATATATATAGAGACCCTTAACCAAATGAACCTTTTTAAATTCCATATACGATATTTAAAAAAGTTATATGGTGCGGAATGCGGATGATAGCTCAATCAGAAAATATAATAGTAACCCGTTTATTGGGTTTTTATTTTTACTTTTGAAGTTTAGAATATTTAATCATTGTTTCAAATATGAAACTTTATAAGTCACATAAATGAAAGAAAAAGGCACGTAAATACTTGGTTTGGTTGACAAAGCGAAGACGAAGAGATGAAATGAAGGATGAAGATGATTAGACAATGACAAAACACAGAGAAAAACAGCTAAAGTTATTTTGTTTTTTCCCCCTTTGGATTTTTGGTGATTGTTCCGTGGCAGCAGTACAATTGCACCGTACTTCTTTTTACCTGGACCTGAAAATTTCTGATGAACTTTAATGTACTTTTAAAAGCTAAAAAGTAGAATAAAAGAATGCAATGCTTTCTAAAAAGCGAAAAGTAAATCAAAAAGTACTTTTTTCTTACACGACGCAGCCTAGTTGAGTAATCCGACCGTAACCTGATTCATCTGCGATTTTTCATTATTTACTTTTCATTTTTTATTATTTACACGACGCAGCCTAGTTAGGCTTAGACATACAATTTTTTGGAAATTTGTATGACCACGATTTACAAATTTACCAAGTCTAAACTATTGTACAAGCCTGTATTACATGGAGTATTTTTCATGTAAAAATCACAATGGAGAAAAAAAGAAAAACAGAGTGTGGACTGTGACGCACATTCAATGGTGGACAAAGACACAAAGCATGACATATCGAAACTTTTGAGCACATTCAATGGACGAAGTGACGATGAACACAAAAGTAGCTTTAGATATTAGAAAACCTTTACATTTTCATTTATTTATTAATTTAATCAATAAATTCCAAAAACATATTCAAGAAATTATACAACTTTATACCACCAAAAAACAAGTTTTTGTGTAACCATGTTATTAAACTGACAATGACGATATCTATAGATTTTTTGTTTTATTGGTGACAGAAAAAAACCAACAGAGAACATAATTACATACAGAGATGTGTAAGATATCCATTTTGTTGGTATAATAAGCAGAGCTACAAAACCCACAACACATATCCAAGGTTGGAGCTTTTATTCTTGTTTCACTTTGATGTCTACTCTAAGTGTGTGACCCATGAATGATAATAATACAGTAAATACTTGAGTCTTAACCCACAATATGTGAAGCGAAGCATTAACCTGACAATGTTTCTTCTTATGGTACCATCAAATTTCTAAGTATTGAAACATTCTGCAAAAGCTGTTATATCGTCAAATGGGGCGTACTGGGCGTACTCCTATATTCCCACGCCTGGTAATTATCCGGTGAGACGGAATAATAATGCCTTTTGAGTTTCGGATCAAAAGTTACAAAGCTCTGTTTCTTCTTCAGTTTATACAGTATCCTGTAAAATGGTGAGAAGTGAGACAGAGTTGGATCAGGCATTGATTGGCGATGGAGAGTTAAAGGATTGAAGAAGAGAATTGGTTTAGTGGTAAACGGAGTAAACCAGATTGAAACCTTGCTCATCTGTCGTGTTATTGCCTTCCGCCAATTGTTGTGTCCTGCAATTGTCAAGGTTTTGTGGGTTAGAGAGTACCATGTTTTCGTCTCTGAACGAATACCTTTACTGCTACGGGGTGGACATTTGATTATTCAGTTTGGTTTTGTTTCGGGGCGGTTTGAATGAAGACGGGCTAAGCAAACAGAAAAAAAAATGTTGAGTTTAAGAGAGGTACCATGGTGATGAGGAGTGACTGATGCCCAGTCCATTGCAAGTGAGTATCATTCCCTTAAATCTAGCCAGATATTCCTGCATAAATATTAAAGAATCGAGCTATCTCTAAATACTGATAATGCGAAAGCAGCTAAACCGAATTCGATATCTCAAAGTAACAGTTCATACCCGCAAAGTGTATTTGTGAATCTCGTAAATACCGGTTAAATCATACTCAAAACGTAAAGCAGGGTCCATTAGCACTGCAAGAATTAAGAGAACAAAAAAACAAGTTACATTAAGAAATCAGGTAACTAACCTCAAGTCTGAAGAGATAATAATCGACACAAATCTACTTCAATCAATATCTAAATGAAATTGAACCTAGTTATTATGCAAAGACTTTACCATTATAAGCTTCATTGATCTCTTGAAATTTTGAAGTAGCCACAGTATCACCATTGTGCTTATCAGGATGCCACTTCTGCATATGGAAAGAATCTCTCAAAACATTCACTAATCAAATTTCAATCTAAATTTTTTTAACCAAATCTGAGTTATTTACTAACCAATGCAAGCTTCCGATAGCTCACTTTGATCATCTCTTCAGTTGCATCATAATCAACTTCTAGGATCTTATAGTAATCCTTCAAAAAGAGTAAATAATCAGATTCATATTAACAGAGTGAAAGTCAGTTCCAATTCAAAAAGATAAAAAAAAACACAAACTTGGAAAATTAGACAAAACCAAAACCTTCAACAATCTAATGAATCACTCAATAGAAATGATACATTCCATAACATGAACAAACTTGCAATTTTTATAATCTCAACTTTTTACATCACAATAAGATTGAATCACAGAAACAACACAAACCCAGTAGTAATCATCAGTGATTAAAAAAAAAAAAGAATTTGTTTTTACCTTGGGAGGATTGTTATCTTCCATCTGATGCAGAGACGAACAGAGGAAGAATATCTTCACACATCATCTAACTGAAGAATATAAACCCTAAGAAAAGGGACTGCAGATTTTTCTTTTTCCCTCGTCAATAATCAAACTAATGGTAGAGGAATTACTAAAATCTTTTTTTTCCCATGAAAAATTGGGAATTTCGACAGAAATATATCAATCGAATCTGTGGTTTTGCTTTGATTTTTTTTATATTTTTTTAAGTTTATTTTCGTAATAAGGAAGAAGTTTAGGCTGAGAAGAAGAGACTTGGCTCTTACTTTTGGGGTAACGTTCAAGATAGAGATAGATAGCCGATATCATGAAGAGCCAACCGGCTCTCTATGTTTGACCAAACCGGTTTACACTTGATTTCATTGGTTTTTCACTTTATTAAATTGAATTTAATCTCGAATAAATTAGAATTTGCATTTATGAATGTAACTTAACAACATTATTAATCTTTATATTAAGATTTCGTATCGTGTTCTCTTAGTATAGCTCTGCTTTGGTTCGGTAAGAGTTAGACTTAGACACCTTAAATACGACGATTGTCTTTTTTTTTAATATCTAAAAGTCGGAAAAGCCCCTCGAATGGTTCCAACAGAAAAAACACAGAACCAATGAAAGGCAGTTTTCAATTGGTAAAATAGAGCAGAGAGCTTCAATCATGCAGTAGCCTCTGCTTCTGCGTCAGTTTCAACGGGGACAGACGGCGAAGAACTGTTCTTGCTGCTACCGCTTCTACCGCCTTTCAGACGCGACGAAACGTTGTCAATTGCTGAATTGAGTTGGCCGATTTTCTCATTCAATATCTCTCTTCTCTCCTGTTATAAACACCAAACCCACATTTGTGTCTTAGTTTAGTATTTTTAAAGAAAGGAAATATGAGATTTGTTGACAATTTCAGTACTAAGTCTTTATTTTTACCTCTAGGCCTTCATCATAGTACATCGGCTGCTCCGGTTTCTTGAAACCATATTCATTCTCGTTCAGCACTGATCTTCGGATCTGTATTAAAAAGCATGACAGCATGTGGAAGTAAGAGATCACATGATAATATCATCCCTAGCTCGGAGAGCAAAAGTAAACACAAGAATTTATGTTGTTAATGTTCTTGATTTCATTTGGAAGAACAAAGCTCAGAATCATTTAATCACTTGAAGAAATCTCAGAGATCTTAGCGGAAGAAATAATACTAAGAATAAACAGCTGTAAGTATGCCTTAAGCCAACATAATTTTATGTTAGAACTGAATAAATAGCCAGAACTACAAGACTGCTTTATTGTTAATGTTCTTGATTTCAAGAGAACAAAGCTCGAAATCAACTAAATCATTTCAAGGGAGTTGGTAAAGATCTAAAGCCAAAAATCATATACAATCTTATGTCTAGTTTCTTGTTATAGAAACTAAGAAAAAAAATGTACCTGTGGAGCAAAGATATAAGCGAGAGTTCCAAACACAGCACTTCCTAGAAGAAAACCGGTAACAAAATCACTACTTCCACCACCCTTACTTCCGCCACTGCAATAATCAACCCGGTAAACTATCAAATGTAGTAATCAATCACCTAGAGGTTTAATGGTTTATATATAGAGAAATATACCGGTAACCTGCAGAGACCGAGAGTTTGTGACTGCGATTTGATGTTGTTTTAACAGTCAATGCAGAGCTCTTGCGAATGGCATTGAAGTTTGTAGAAGACAAACGGTGTTCTTTGACATGAGAGTCACCTGTGCCATAAGGTGTGAAGAACCCGAATCAAGAAGCTGCTTTGGTTCAATTTGAGTAAACTCTTACAAAACAATAAAGGCAAAGGAGAAGAGTTTTTATATAAGTAATCTAAAGATATGGAGAAACTATCAAATACACAGTTTCAAACCATATGTTAGTCCTTTACTTTAAGTCATTGTATGTATCAGTGGATTTTCGTATCTGCCTTAAGTCATTTTGCTAAATGTTGAACTAGTATCAGAGACTATGAACACAACATTGATCTCGCTAAAATGCTATTACCTAACGGAGGTTTTGAAATTCGATTGCGAGAAACTAAATCTCTGCTCCGAAATCCTAAATTTCCCAATCAAATCGGCGAATCTTTCTCCGGTTACTCGGAAATTGAGATCAAAATGAAGCAGATGAAATGAAAACTGGAGAAGAGAAAAGGCGATTGATTACCTGAGAAAGAGATAGGAGCTGCTACCAAGGACGCCATTTTACATTAAAACGAAGATCTGAGAGCAACATAGAAGAAGAAGAATAAGAAGAAGACGAACGAACGAATATATACGCCATTTGTCCCAAGAGAAGTGTTATCTATTTGCTAACATACCCCCTTTAAGTTACTTATTTCCCCAAATACACTCAAAGAGTTACTCATTTGCTAAAACCCTTCCAATTATTTGTAATTCACAAATTTGACACAACATATCACTTAGGAATCAAATTTTTGAATGAATTCTAGAAGTCAACTGCTTCTATGCTGTATATCTACAATGAACAAGAGTCATAACGAGAAGAGATTAGAAATTAGCCAAAACACACTTTAGATCAGTCAAGTCAACCAAAATCAACATCCGGTCATATGTTCTTTGCCCATGCCTTAATATGTACAAAGCTGTGAGTTGAGTCTTCTTCATGATAACCCAAAGACCCAAAATAAAAGACACTAGTTTGGTTAATTTTTAAGATATGTTTCCTATGAGGATTTGTCAGGGAAGTCTCTCAAGAGAAACAGAGGAGTATTCACATTCTGCTTCTTCTTGTGTTCCCATTTAGACACTCATCTCTCATTCTGTTTTTGTTCTTGTCGTTTCTTTTATAAGGATGACAAGAACAAAGATAGTGAGAGAGAAGCTGGATTGTTTTCCTGATTCACCACCTTATCTTGTGGCTTATGACTACTGCTACTTCTATGTTCTTCAATTGAGGTTGTTCCAGCCATGAAAGGCAAGACGACTCCTGTGCTCGTGGTCATGGTCGGTAGTTTTATTATTGTCTACCATTTCAGATGTCAGAAGTCCTCTTTGAAGCAAATTTATGAACAGATGTATCCCTCCTGACAATGCTACATCCAGTTTCTACTCCTGTAACTGTCTTCAGCTTTTTATTCGCTGGACCTTCACACAACCCTTCTTTATTCAGATCATCCACGTTCACTTTCGGGTTCATGTCAGAGGATTTCACTGTCCCAGGCCCCGTCTTCTCATCCTTCAAGTGTGGGCTAACACCTATCTCTCCTTCCTCGATTTCTTCAGCCACTCCATGTTCTCCATATGAAACAGAGAATGCATTCTCCTTCTCAATGGCATCGCACGCTTTACCCTCTTTAGCTTTCTCCTCCTGTTTCAAATCCATGAATGCATCAATATTTGCATGATGTTAAGAAAGACCTAGCAACTGTCTACAACACTCTAAACTAAAACAGACCTGAGAGTAAGACTTTTTTAACTAGAGCGGAAAAATTGAATGGCCAATGTAAATTCAGAGAAGAAATGTATAATTAGCAGAGGACTAGAACAACCCACCTTCATGCACGATTGCATTCTGTTCGACGTGCGATCAGTCAAAGACTCTCTGTTGCTTGGATTCTCATGGTGAAAGGTCTCACGAGTAGAAAAAGCTTTCTTCATATTTGGCAAAACACAAGACGCCGGAAGACGTGTGTTCTTGGGTGGATTAGAGCAACTCTCTTTTTTTCCTCGGAATACACCCCAAAGGAAAAATAACATGTTCCAGCCTGCAAACACAATGGATATAGCACTAAGCAATAGACTTTCTACAGTTTAAATCAGGCCTTACATTTAAACGGATCCTTCAACACATCAGTGAAACATTTTTGAAACTTATTGGAGAGTGTTCGAGCATGACTGAAGAGCCATACCTCCTCCTCAATGGAAGAAACAGATATTAATTTTGTAAGCAAGCATTGTAAAGATAGTGAGTTTTCAAAAACACAGAAGTTTAATCCTATTGAAGACAGTGAAACTTGCAACAAAACGTATGTTCATGAAGTGAAAGAGTTCTACTTAAGACTCTTACGCTGCCAATCCTGAGGAAGCTGGTTGGACGCAAAAATCAAAAGCTCAACACCCTCGAGGCTTCCCTTTAGGGCTAAATCTTTCTGAATCATGTTATCTACCAGAGGCTTATAATTTTTCTCATAACTGTGTGTCACAATAACAATTAATATATTTCGTCAGTGGATTAGGAAATAAAACATTGAAACGACCAAAAACAGAATAACCATGTGAAACAAAACACAATTATATACAGTTACCTCTCGATGTCCTTGGCAAAGAAGAAAAGAGCCACATGCTGTTCCTTAGCACCTGTATCTTGAAACTGTGCAGGCCATGAACTAAGCCTGGGTACTTCATTCAAGGTGACTTTTTCAGGAAATTGTTTCACCACTTCAACCACCTTAGGTGATGCTGAGGTTGAAAGATACGCTTGTATTCCACTATGCATTGCTGATAAATTTCTGCTTTTCTGCACCTCCAAGCCCCCTCTGGTCAAAAGGAAATAGAAGGTTTATCTACAAGTAACTAAACCAGAAAAGTGGTCTTCATAAAAAGGAACGAAACCATACTGCCAAATATACTCATGCTCTGGGATGGCTGAGGTTGTCGACAGAACATTTGGGGCAGCCACAGGCAAATCTCTCATGACCGGTTTTACAGAAGGAAAATTAACTTCAAGCTCAACAGATTGGGAAGCAGCCATTGCATCAGTACCAGCGAGTGTAGACTGGTTTCCATTTACCGCATTTGTCTGCTTGTCTGTCCGTAAATTTGGATGCCCTCCTGGCAATCCTTGGAATCCCACAGGCCAATCTCTTATGACCGGCACCTTTGAGGGTAAACTTTTTAAAGCCTTATTACAACCGGAATCCACATTAGACACTGAAGGCAAATCAGATTGCTCCAACCCTCTGTTTTTGCTAAAGCTGGGTTTTTTACGCAGTGCAGCATCAACCGCTGCTCGCAACCTATTGCCCTTATTAATATCCTCGCTAATATTTTGCTTTTGGTGATTACCAACAGCATCTTTGCTTTTCTCCCCCGCCTCTCTGAATTCCCTCGACCGAGGTAAACCATCTACATGTGCCAGTTCATCTTTACATTTCGTTTCACTTGATATTTGCTCGCTTGAACTACACTTTTCATTTTTAGATGAATCCCCCACTGCATAGGTGAGTAATAAATTCATGGGTGTCAATCATGATATCTTTAACGCAGAGAATTGTTTACTAATGAAGTAAAAAAAGCTATAACCAGTGAACATCGTACCAGAAGCAACTATATCTTCTAGACGGTTTCGACTTAGATGTCTGGCTTGCTTTGACAAGCTACCTTGTTTACCATCAGACTGCAAATCCTTCAAATCACGGGGACTTTTTGCATAAGGAATGGATGAATTGCCACGTGAAATGGATACTGAAGGGTTAGCTTCTGTGCTCCGATCTTTCAGTTGCGTTGAACCTTTTACTTCTGAGTCATTACAACTAGAGCTCCCTACGTCTATACATCTACTTGACATTGATTTCCCTACATTTTTACAAAATCCTTCCTTTACATCAAGGGAAGAATTTCCTTTCCCAGTCTTCTGTCGTGGAAGCATAACATCATCCACTGGTCTCACTTTTGGTCTAGAGCTCGAAGAATTAAACGAATTGGACTTGTAAAAGGAACCTATACAAACAGAAAACAAGGTGATATTATACAACCTTCAAAATCACCAAAAGTACGGCAAACAAGACAAGGAAGAACTGCGCTTGAGAGAAATTGTATCATATATCCTACCTTTAGGGGACCGGAGCTGCGAGTCAGTAGATCGTGTGCTTTCTGTGTCATCACTGGAGTAGCTATTGAAAGATGAGTTATGAGCTAGCTTTCTCGCTGGCTTCTCTAAGCCCTTAAATGATGTTTCTCGGGATAAAGCGGACACTCTGGGGAGAACAGATCTCTTGGGTGACCCTGTTGGAGCCTCAACTGCCAATCTTTTAGAATCTGGAGCTGCCTCAAATTTATCTATGTGCCTTTTGCTGGAGCTCTGTGTATTCCTGTTTACCTCACTTTCTCTTTTTCCCTTGGTTTCTGCACGTTTCAACTCAAGTTTGTTAGAAAAAAAGAAAAAAACAAGTTCACAACCAAGTTCCTAATGTTTTGCACTAACATCATGTACCTTTACCTAGCTTCTGCTTTTCTGCTTCCTCAGCAAACTTGCATTCTTCACAAAGCCAATAACCCTTAGGAACCTTTTTAAGCATTACTCGCATGCAATAGCTGAGGAAAAGAAAACACAACTATATAGTTAGTACAGAAATGGTGATCAGTTAATAATAATAGGATAATCCAATTCACTTAAACTTCACTAATATTAACGTCAAGAATAAATCCTGAACGGCAACTGGCCATTAGTTCAGAAAGACGGGGTACCCCGGACTCCAAAAAGTACTCGATCTTTTCTTTCCCATGAACAGAAGCAGGCTTACGTGTGTTCAGCACCATCACTGCATCTGCTACAGATAGCAAGTAAATCCTCACGACCCGCATCTCCGCAAGTATCACATACTTTTACCTGCTCAACAACATAGAGAACATTTTAACTTGAGATTTTTGTCACTAGGAGACGAAAGTAAACATTAAAACAAAAAAGAAACAGAGTCAGAAGTTCAGCCAACAAAATAGATGTGTTCTTTAATTCTTCCTAATATGAGACAAACCAGCATACTTACATCAAGTTCCAGCATTTCAGGATCAGTTTCACTCTCACTCTCAGACATGGCTGATGTGTTTGATTCATCTGCGTTATTTAAGAGAACATTTTCTCCTGACTTCCCAACCTTTGGTCCTGAATGCTTAGAACTTCCAGTTAAAGTATTTTTCTTGTCTTCGTTATTATTTGCTCCTGAATTTTCCTTGACTTTTCCCTGCCCTAGAGTGCTTCTGGCCTGATGGTCACTACATGAATCTACCATGATGGAATCTTGCTCTTTGCGAGACCTATCTAATATTGGGCCATGGGAAATATCAGAAGATCTTATAATTTCCATACTCTCAGCATTCTCAGATGAAGTATCATGATTGGAATTAACCAGATGGCTCGCTTCACTAGCAGTGTTATGTGAACTGCTGGGAGCATTAACCCCAGAAGAACGCAAAAGATTGTCCCCGTTGAAAGAACACTGGCTCGCCACTACACCATGAGAGTTCTCATCTGATGACTCGTCTGACTTTGAACTGGTAAATTCCGCATTACGATGCATGCAAGATGAACAAGGAGCAGAGCAGACATTACAAGTTCGAGACTGCATTTTAGGACGACCTTTGCGACCCATGGAGCGATTACCAGCTCTTCTATCAGTCTTCAGGCAAATCATAGAGAGAATGTTAGGAAAATAGTATCAGTGAATTTAAAGAAGCATAAAAGGGAAAATTTACTGAAAAATAATTTCTAAAACCAAATTTTTTCATAAGACTTAAAAAACAGTATAAGCATTTCAAATAGAGCACTGTGTATCCGCAGAGCATTTTTCGAGTGATGTTTGGAGATAAAATTGCGTCCTCCATGTGAGCGGTTCCTAGACTACAACCAGACATTCATGCTATTATCTAAAGGTGCGACATTCAAAGGAAGAGTCTTAATGAGATCTACATTAAACGCTACATATTATCCTCGGTTCTTAGACCATCTTTAAGCAAGAACAAGCCACAACATCGCTAACACAAAAAAACTGATTCCAGATTCTTCAGATAAACTTACCATAAGCAACAGAATTGATGAGCACAACTCGCAAACCGATCTCTAATCCGCTAATCCAACTGTGAACACACAGAACAAAGAGCATAATTAAGAACTGCAAAAAAACATTAAGCACAAACCCAGATTATTCAATCATTATTGTTCTAACAACATTTGCATAACATGCAAATTAAACACAATTCCTAACTAAGAACCCTCAAAGAAATTACAAATTCACAGTTTTTTAAAAACAAAAATAAAAGGACAGTGACCAATCTCTGTATAAAATCACGATTATAACTCCAGAAAACAAGGAATCTAACGATAACCAAGCAAATTAGTCTCTAAAAACTCTGAAAAAATCAGAGTATAAGATTACATTGTTGAGGTCTCAAAATCATCTTCCTCAACATTTGGATTTCCGCAATCATCACTATCAGCATGAGCCAATCGAGAAGAAACAAAACCCTAAACTTACCATTTATTGATTTTCGTTGTACAAATACAAACCCTAGTTCGTCTAAAATCCAGATTCGATTTCCTCTCTCTCTCTCTAGATACAAAGAGAATCTGGCGTGGCCCTAAGTTCGTTTCTCGATAAACACAGAGCCCAGATAATGAGAGCTGCTTTTAAATAGCCAACCCCAAGGATCTCTATACCTACACGTAGATACGTACGGACATACATACATATGCACACACGCAATTATTTATAAATTAATTACTAATTTAGTCTATTAAACACGCAATTGTTAAGAGTTTTTTAAAAACGTGTTTAACAAGATTTTTTTACAGTGATTTAGTATTTTACCTTTTACCGCCATGAAAGCATTTCTCTACTCTGGACAGAATTCTGCACTGTAACAGACATTTTTTATATACACACAAATTCAAAGTTTTTTCTCTTTTTCGTCAAATTTAGAATTACATGTTATGAAATTATTAACTTAATTGCTAATTTGGTAATTTCATTTGAAGAAGTTAATTTTAATTGTTTTTTCGGTTCCCACTTTAAGTTGGGAAAACGACACGTTTTAGGCCATGTGTTAACGTTAAAATATTAGACCAAAACGAAGAAGAAAATTTCAAAATTGCCATTTCGTCTTCCTAAGTTTATTTTCGGCCGTTTCAGCCCAATTACTGTAATTGGAATTTTAGTTCAAAGGAACATTTGGGCTAGCCCATTTTTTGGGCCTTTGTAGAACATTTGTGGTTTTGGGCCTTTGAAGATTATATGTGGTCTCGGATTTTTTGATGGTGATGTGATGTCCATTAATATTGTCCACTCCTGGTAAAATCAATCAGATTTTTTTTTTCATGAACATAAACAAAAAATATGAAGTTTTTTGACATATGACAAAATAAAAAATCAATGAAATGGCCCACAAAGATCACATGCTCAAAAATCAAATATTATTAATCATCATCGCCTCAACTTCGCCGCATTTTTCGGATTTTTTTACACTTTTTTTTTTCTACGAAAAAAATAAATATATATTATGTTATAAATAATTACTTTATATTATGGTGTATATAAATATAAATAATGGAGAAAGAATTTATACCCACAGAAGGATCGGGATACTGAAAATAAAGAGATGAGAGGAGGAGAGAGATTTCTTATAACTTCTTATTGTTGAAGTATGAATTGTGATTTTACAACGAACGATCGTTCGTTTATATAGACGTAAAAAAGTAAATTACTATGCGTGCATAGTGACGGTGGGCTCCACACAAATTAATAAACAAAATGTTTTACCCATGTGCGCATCTTTTCGCGACTTTACGATTCCTCCTTTTTACGACTTTTATAACACTCCCCCTTGGAGACCAGTGTCACTATGTCTCTTGCGTAATATCTTATGTTGCCTCGTTAAAAACCTTTCTAGGAAAACCCGGTGGGAAAAACCATAGTAGGTAAAAAGAGTGCAACCGTGCAAGCTCCCCCTCGAATGATCAGGATCATAACTTACAAGTCTTGTTGACGACGCATTCCAATGTTATGAACATGTTTCCTGAACATAGAGGTGGGTAATGATTTTGTGAAGAGATCCGCAGAATTCTCGGATGATCGGACATATCTTACTTCAATGTCTTTATTCTTCACGAGCTCTTGGGTGTATGAAAAGAACTTCGGAGGGATATGTTTGGTTCTATCGCTTTTGATATATCCTTCTTTTGTCTGAGCAACACATGCAGCATTGTCTTCATATAAGATAGTTGGTTCCGTATTTAGACGAATTCCACTACTTGTTTGAATGTGTCGACTTATTGATCGTAGCCACACGCATTCTCTACTCGCTTCATGGAGTGCGATGATTTCAGCATGATTTGAAGAAGTAGCTACAAGCGTCTGCTTCTGAGAACGCCATGATATAGCGGTACCTCCAATCGTGAATACGTATCCTGTTTGGGATCGAGCTTTGTGTGGATCTGATAAATATCCTGCATCTGCAAAACCAATCATTTGACCATTTATATTTTTAGGATAAAATAACCCTAAATCAATAGTCCCTTGAAGATAACGAAAGACATGTTTAATCCCATTCCAATGTCTTCGTGTAGGGGATGAACTAAATCTAGCCAAAAGATTGACTGAAAATGATATATCAGGTCGAGTGCAATTTGCAAGATACATAAGGGCTCCAATTGCACTTAGATACGGTACTTCAGGACCGAGTATCTCTTCATTCTCCTCAGGTGGTCTGAATGGATCACTCTCAACATTAAGTGATCTAACGACCATTGGAGTACTGAGAGGAGTTGCCTTATCCATATTAAAACGTTTTAGCACTCTTTTGGTGTATGTGGATTGATGTACAAATATACCCTTTTGAGTATGTTCAATTTGTAGGCCAAGACAAAATTTTGTCTGTCCGAGATCTTTCATCTCAAATTCCCCTTTTAAATAGTTTGTTGCTTTCTGTATTTCTGCTTGAGTCCCGATTATGTTTAGATCATCAACATATACCGCGATTATCACAAATCCGGAATTTGTTTTCTTTATGAAAACACATGGGCATATAGGATCATTCACATATCCTTCTTTCGTCAAATGCTCACTGAGACGATTATACCACATTCGTCCAGATTGCTTTAACCCATATAATGATCTCTGCAACTTTATTGCACATAACTCTTTGGGTTTAGATTTTAATGCTTCTGGCATATTAAACCCATCGGGAACTCTCATATAGATATCTGTATCTAATGATCCATATAAATATGCTGTAACGACATCCATGAGACGCATCTCTAGATTTTCGCCAGCTGCTAGACTCATCAGAAATCTAAACGTTATAGCATCCATAACGGAGGAATATGTTTCCTCATAATCAATCCCGGGTCTTTGAGAAAATCCTTGAGCTACGAGACGAGCCTTGTATCTCGTAATTTCATTTTTCTCATTTCGTTTTCTAACGAAAACCCATTTGTATCCAACCGGTCTCACATCTTCAGGTGTGAGTACAATAGGTCCGAATACATTTCGCTTGTTGAGCGAATCAAGTTCGACTTGTATTGCATCTTTCCATCTTATCCAGTCATGTCTCTTTTGACATTCATATACAGACTTTGGTTCTGGATCCTCGTTTTCCTCATCAATTTCCTTTGACAAAAGGTATGAGAAAACGTCATTAACTTCATCCATTTTATTTCGATCCCAGATCTTTCCATTATGGATATAGTTGATAGAAATCTCATGGTTTCCTTCAGGCTCATGATGCTCATCATTGTCATTAGACTCATGATTCGTTTCTTCCAAAATGCTTTCTGCTATTTTGGGAATATCATGCTTTTCAACTTCCTTTCGTTTTCTAGGATTTTTATCCTTAGCACCAACTGGTCTACCACGTTTCAAACGTGTTTTAGACTCACGTGTATCATCTGCTCCTCCACGTTCTTGTGGTATTTCAATTCGAGCAGGAACATTTGCAGCTGGTATATATGATTTAGTTACCGTTTTGGTATCTGCAAAAGCATCGGGAAGTTGATTTGCTATACTTTGCAAATGCACAATTCGTCGAACTTCAATTTCTGACTGTTTTGTAGGAGGATCAAGGTGTAACAGTGATGGTACACACCATTTAATTTCTTTTCCTACTTGCTTATTTTCTCCCCCTAGAACCGGGAATACTTTCTCATCAAAGTGACAATCGGCAAATCGTGCCGTAAAGACATCACCTGTCTGCGGTTCTAGGTATCTTATAATTGATGGAGAATCACAGCCAATATATATTCCCAACCTTCTTTGTGGTCCCATCTTTGTACGTTGTGGTGGTGCTATAGGCACATACACTGCACAACCAAAAATTTTTAGATGGGATATATTTGGTTCACGACCAAATACTAGTTGTAATGGGGAATATTTATGATATGCACTTGGTCTTATCCGAATGAGTGCTTCTGCATGCAAAATGGCATGTCCCCATACAGAGGTTGGAAGTTTTGATCTCATGATCAATGGTCTTGCAATCAATTGCAGACGTTTAATTAATGATTCCGCCAAGCCATTTTGTGTATGAACATGAGCTACAGGATGTTCAACTTCAATTCCCGTTACCATACAATAATCATTGAATGCTTGGGATGTGAATTCACCAGCGTTGTCTAGTCTAACTCTTTTAATAGGGTAATCAGAAAACTGAGCCCTCAGTTTGATTATTTGAGTTAGAAATCTCGCAAATGCCATATTTCGAGATGATAATAGACAAACATGTGACCATCTGCTGGATGCGTCAATTAATACCATGAAATAGTGGAATGGTCCACATGGTGGATGTATTGGTCCACAAATATCTCCTTGAATTCGTTCAAGGAATTTTGGTGATTCTTTATCAATTTTGGTTGGCGATGGCCTTATGATCAGTTTTCCAAGAGAACATGCGGCACATGTCTTTTTATTCCCATGATATATCTCCTGGATTTTCAATGGGTGTCCATGTGAGCTCTCTATGATTTTTCGCATCATCGAGGTGCCTGGATGACCGAGGCGATCATGCCATAATGTGAAATCTTCTGGATTTCTTTTAATCACTAGATGCGATTCGATTGCACTTATATGAGTATAATGCAATCCTGAAGGAAGTTTTGGAAATTTTTCCAATATAAGCCTTTTTCCCGATTTATCAGAAGTTATGTACATATACTTCTTTTCATTCTCAGTTGCAGACTGAGTATCATATCCTTGAAGGTATATGTCTTTGAAACTCAACAAATTCCTTTTAGAGTTTGGAGAATACAAGGCATTTTTTATGGAAAACTTGGTTCCATTAGGCAACATAAAGTTGGCCATACCAGTTCCTTCAATCACGTCTACAGGACCTGATATTGTATTGACAATAACGTTTGTCAGTTTTAAGTTAGAGAAATATCTTTTGTCCTTCAGAATAGTGTGTGTTGTTCCACTATCTGGTATACAAATTTCTTGAGCCATTTCCTTGGAGATTGTTTCATCCATTTCTGTGATTAAGATAAACATAAAGAAAGTAAATTTTATAAAAGGAAAACACACAATAATTATATATTAAATTGTTGTTAAAACAACATTATTTTTCAAAATAATAAAAGCATAATATTATATATATATGGCATAACTAGAGACTATTTCAGCAGTCTCAATACAAGCTCTCTAGTTAACCGCATGAGCGGTCTCATTAATCTTTTCCGCTATTAGGAGTGCCACAAATAAATCCGAAAATTCGGTATACCCGTATGACATATACAGTTTTTGCTGGGTAATGTGGTTTTCATGAAACGTGGTATACGTTTTCTCAAGCATCTGAGAATCAGTGATAATATCACCATAATATTTTAGTTTAACCACAATTTCCATCATAGCGGAATTATAATCCATCACTTTATCAAAGTCTTTGAACTTTAGACTTTGCCATTCATCCCAAGCAAGTGGGAGATTTATTGCCTTTCGATTATCAAATCGAGCCTTTAGGGATTCCTAGATCTCTTTGGGATCTTATATGTGTGCATAATCACATATCATACTTTCATCAAGGTGTCTTAAATTAAAGATCACCAATTTTTCCCTTTCTTGAACCGTCGAAATATTATTCTCTTTTACGGTTTTTATTAAGCCAAGAGATTGTAAATGTAATTCGACGTTGGCAATTCAAAAAATATATAATTGGCCAAAGTGATGTGCAGAGCCGAAAACTTAAGCTTCTCAATATTTGCCATTTGTTTTCTAAAAATAAAAACATGGAATATTATTAGAAATCTTTTAATTTATTTTAAAACATATTTAAAATGAACCGTTTACATTAATAATGCAAGCGATTACAAAAAGAAAAAGCGCACAAATAAGTAAACTAATGTTCAAACGAAATTCTTGCGGAGTAAATTCTACAACGCAAAGATTATAAATACACAAAATAATGATTCCAAAAACAAATATTAAAAGTAACCGAAACATTCTTCAAAACTTCAAAACTTCAAAATACTTCTTCTTTTTTCGGAGAGAGTTTTTTAGAGGGATGAAAAATTTTGTTTTGATGAAATGAATGAGAAAATGAATGTATTTATAGATTGAAAATTACTGTTCATAGCCGTTTGAAAAGTGATAAATTTTTCTTTATGACCGTTGGCGAAAAAGATTTAAACAAAAATTAATCTGAAAAATTAGAGATCAATCAGATAAAAATTATCGATTCAGATAAAAATATTTATACAGGTGAATAAACCTTCTTGTATAATAATCATAATATAAACAAACAATTCACGGTGATATTATGGTCACGGAGTCATCCACATAGAAACATTAAATAAATATGTGGCGGCTCAGCCGACCGGTAGCAGAAATAAATATTTAAAGCAGCGCATAAAATTAAGGCGGCTCAGCCGACCGGTAGCAGAAATAAATATTTAAAGCAGTGCATAAAATTAAGGCGGCTCAGCCGACCGGTAGCAGAAATAAATATTTAAAGCAGTGAATAAAATTTCAGGTGGCTCAGCCAACCATTAACAGAAAATAATTAATTATGGTGCATGAAGTAATATATATATACATATATAGTTTCTTTTATTTATTTATATAATTTTCTTTTCTCTTTTTCTCTTTTCTCTTTTTTTTTTTTTCTTTTTTCTCATTATTTTTTTTTTCTTTTAACGAGGCGACATACCGCCCGGTATAATACCGTATTTTTTTTCAGCGATCATAGAGTGATCGTGCTGATAACGTGTTATAAATAATTACTTTATATTATGGTGTATATAAATATAAATAATGGAGAAAGAATTTATACCCACAGAAGGATCGGGATACTGAAAATAAAGAGATGAGAGGAGGAGAGAGATTTCTTATAACTTCTTATTGTTGAAGTATGAATTGTGATTTTACAACGAACGATCGTTCGTTTATATAGACGTAAAAAAGTAAATTACTATGCGTGCATAGTGACGGTGGGCTCCACACAAATTAATAAACAAAATGTTTTACCCATGTGCGCATCTTTTCGCGACTTTACGATTCCTCCTTTTTACGACTTTTATAACATATTACACTTTTTTCCTTCAATCCTTTTTATTTGCACTTCACAATTAGCTTCATTACTTTCCTAAACTCGCTTATTTTTTCTTTTTTATTTAGATATATTCATAAGTAAAAAAGATCATAACGATCTTTTGAATAATTTTCATTTTCCAAACATAAGATTAATTTTAAAGTCGGATCTAAAAAAATTTTAGACTTTAATTTGTTTCTATATATACGTGGGTAATTACTAATGTTTACTGATTTTGAGTCTTGACATTTTCTATGGGACAAAAACGACAAGTGTGGTAATTAGAAATTATAATGACCTACTTCCCCAGAATCACGGCATGAACATTGGCAAATACCAAAGAAGGAAATAAATCCCCACTAATTATTTTCTCTATAAATATCTTAAACCCGTTTTATTGTTTCTTAACAAATCATTCATTCGAAATCAAGAATTATTAACAAAAAAAATGGCGAATTGTATCAGAAGAAATGCTCTTTTCTTCTTAACTCTTCTCTTTTTACTGTCAGTCTCCAACCTCGTTCAGGTAAACAGATTCAGTTCATTTAAACAAGTTGTGTAAAAATGACCAAAGGCAATGAAAAATTGATGGTTATTAGTTTTCTGATATTGAAGTTTTTTATATGACAGGCTGCTCGTGGTGGTGGCAAACTCCAACCCCAACGTACGAACTCAAAACTTGTGTGGTTTCATATCATAATAATTTCTTAATCACTAATTATTAATAATGTTGATAAATAAACTTTAACAATTATGGTGTTTTTGTGAAATATCAATTTGGTATCTTGATTATTTGTTCTTTTTTGTTTGTTTGTGATGGAACCATCAAACGTAGAATGCAACTCAAAGTGTAGCTACCGTTGTTCAGCAACATCACACAAGAAGCCATGCATGTTCTTTTGCCTCAAGTGCTGCAAAAAATGTCTTTGTGTTCCTTCTGGCACTTACGGCAACAAACAAAGTTGTCCATGTTACAACAACTGGAAGACTAAAGAAGGCGGCCCAAAATGTCCTTAACACTTCTTATTACATATATTTGATAATATGGATCTATTTTGTATCATCAATCACTTACTCTGTCTTGCTCTGTTTCTATAAGTCGGGAGAATCTCTTATTTGTCTTTACACTTTTCTTTTATGTCTTTTTGCTCTCTCTATAGTTGTGTTATACGTGTAAGTCCGCCCCATGTGTCATGGATTATAGTATCTTAGGTTACAAATTTATAAAATGGGCTTCATTGTCAATTGATTTGAGCCTACAAACATGTAGCCAGAACGAAGCCTTATAGTCATAAAGCCCATCAAAATTGTGAATGATTATTATCAACTTATAATATTTCAGTCATAGATAAAGATTTTCTAACATTCTAATTTATCTCTAGTGTTGATGATTGGCCAAATAATATTGGTTGTATGTGTGGAAGCCATGTTCTATGATGCTGAGAATTGTAATAGGACTGTAATAACATCTTTACATGGTATATTTATATGAATTTATAAATGGATTTAAATTCCATTTCTCTATTAGTGTTCATGTCAAAGAGTATTTAATCCCATTAATGAATTTATAAATTAATACCTATGTCACCATGTGCATGTGTACCCACATGGATACTGATAGGAGCTGGAACAAGAGAAAAAGGTTGTGTCAACTGTCCATGACTCGGTGTAAATGGTGTATCACATGAAAAGAATGGATAGTGTTATTAAAAAGCCTAAGTCCAGATCACCATATTTTTTCCTCAAATAATTCGAATTCCCTATAAGTTTGAACTAAAATAGTTTTTCAGCACTTGTAATTTGTTCATACATATCTCTAAGCAAATATATTGTGTTCAATGTTCATTCCTTATGATGATCATATATATGTTTTCAACACAAAAGTGTTTATTTCAAATTTTTTTGGGTCAATATTGTTATTTCATTTTTTTTTTCCTGTGGAATACGGTTACCACATAGGTAGTAGTGGTTACCAACTCCACATTATAAAACTTGAAATTTAATCGAATCGTGAAGTGTTTAATGTTTATCAGTCAATCGTGAGACGATATTCATGACCATTTTTGTCGTTGACTTTGTTTTTGGCTCAAAATTTTGGACGGCGATAAAAAATAAAAATCGTTGACATTGTTTTTGGATGAATCGTTGACTATGATTCTAGGATAAGAGATGTGAAACGAAGAAAACAAAAACCAATTTATACACACGCAATCAACTATATATTTATACAAAAATTAGCATAACCAATAGTTTTAAAGACATTTTTGGAACTTTGGAAATTAAGAAGAGTAGAAAGAAAGAAAAAAAACTTATAGGTCTCATCTCAATTTGAGGCTCAAGAATTAACGAACAAACTAGAACAAGAACAAAGTAGAAGAAGAAGAAAAAAAAGGCGGGAAGTGGGGTCGACACTATTCAAGCAATTGCAATTTAACCCCAAACAATTTTCAAATTAATCAATTTAGACCCCAGAAAATCAGTCGGATACTGGATTTGGGGAGCCAGATGAATGGGAAACCTCCTCAATGAGTCTGGTGACTTCGGCCATCGAAGGACGACTATCTGGGAATTGAGCCGTACAACTCATACCGATCTTCAATAAACGAATGATGTTCTCATTGCCCTCAGGTTGGTACCTTGTGAGCTCGGGATCAAGCACATCGGACGGTGATTGTTGATCGGTAACAGATTGGACCCATCTTGGCAAATCGACGCCTTCTTCATTCAATTGCTGATGCGTTGGAGACTTACCTGCAATGTATCATGTTAAAACCTTAAAACCGCAGCACTTGCAAAAAAGAAAGATAGATATGTACTTTATTGTTTGTTACCTGTGAGTAATTCAAGGATTAGGACGCCAAAGCTATAGACATCAGCTTTTTGGGAGATTTTGCGAGCATCGGTGACTTCAGGGGCACGGTAGCCATCAATGCGGTTAGGTGCAGTTGTAGAACTAATGATAGGAGCAAGACCGTAATCAGAGACCTTAGCTTCATAGGAGTCAGATAATAGTATGTTCGAGGACTTAATGTTTCCATGAGAAGTTGTGGCATCACGCGAATGTAGGTAGCTAATCGCTCTTGCAGCTCCTACGGCTATACCGGCTCTGGTTTCCCAGTTCAACGGAGTTCTCCCGTTTCCTTTGTTCCCTACAGATCCATTAAAAGAGCTTAAAAACCGAGCTGGAAGCCTAATAATTTAACCAAGCCCATCAAGATCATAAACTAGCATCAAGACGCATAAGATAAACTAACTAAGAAGCAATGCAGTAATCAATGTCAATCTTAGCCAAACCAAGCCCATCAAGATCACATACTAGCATCAGCTAAACTAAGAACCCGAAAAATCAACAAATGCATAAATAGAGTGATTTCGATTTTTACCGTGCAATAGCGCAGACAAGCTTCCTCTAGACATGTACTCAAAGACAAGAAGCTTCTCGTCGCGGCTGAAATAGTAAGCGATCAGAGTCACAAGATTGGCATGACTCATTGATCCCAAAACCTGCAATCTCTCTCTGAACTCTTTCTCAGGCACCACAACGTCTCTTAAACGCTTCACAGCCACCACTAACCCATGATCAAAGCTTGCCTTATACGAAGACCCAACTGTTCCTTTCCCAAGAACCTCAGCTGAAGCCTTCAACAATCCATCCAAATCGAATTCCCCGAAAGATTTCACGAAAAAGGTCAAATCTTTACTCACCACACCACTCTCCGACGCCGTAGCCTTTGCCGGCGGGGCATCAACAACCCTTTCCTTGGGTATAGCAGCTGAGGAGGTCGGAGCTGCGACAGGAGCTTCAACATTTCTAGCTGTAACGTTCTCTTCTTTCTTTCTCTTTCTACAGAGACAGAACAGAAGCAAAAGAAGCAGCAATAGACCAACAACACATCCGATCACAATTCCGGCAATAGCTCCGGCGGATAATTTATCGTTATCCTTTTTCTTCGGCGGCGTATTGGGTCCTCCAGCGTCACCACTTGGGCTCTCTGCCTCGCAAGAATTTAAGGGCTTCCCACACAGAGTGTTCCCTTCAAAAGCGGTTCGAGGCCAAGTCGACAACGAATTCGGAATCGATCCGTTTAATTGATTAGAAGAAACATTGAACTGTTGAAGACGAAGCGTGATCTCAGGGATCGGACCAGAGAGTTGATTCCTCTCTAAATACAGAGTAATCAACCGGGTCGCGGAATTGACATTATCCGGGATCCGACCCGAGAACTTATTCTCCCCAAGATTAAGTCTGATTAGGTTTGGAAGCGTGAAGAGAAACGACGGAATCTCACCGGAAAAGTCATTACCTTGGAGATACAAGTAACGGAGGAGAACAAGGTTTGAGAAATCCGCAGGGATTGGACCAGAGAGAGAATTGAATCGGAGAGAGAGAGTCTTAAGCTGGGTTAGATTACCAATTCCACCGATTGGTAAAGAACCGAATAAACCAGCTCCGGGTAATCGGAGAGCCGTGACCCGACCCGCATCGCAAGTGACTCCGTGCCAATTACAAGGAGAAGAAGCAGTCATGTTCCATAACAAAGGACGGCCACGAACACTGTTACGAACAGCGACTAAAGCTCTCCGGTCAGAGTCTAGATCTGAAGTGACCGCCGCGAGATAGAAGACGAAGAAGAAGACAACAGAGAGACTTAGCTTACGCTTGTACTTCATCTTCTTCTTCTTCTTCAAACTGTGTAAAATCTTCGTCTCCTTGGTTTCAAAATATATATCGACTTTTGGAGATGGGTTTTGGGAGATTTTGTGAATTTATTTCGGCTACGCGTAAACGAGTGTTTGAACAAGAGACTTTTTTTTTTTAACAGCTCTGTCTTTCTCTCTCTAGAGCCGGCTAAGATAGAGAAAATCATCATAATTGCAGAGAAAAGGAAAAAGAAAAGTTACTCGTTGGAATTTTTCCTTTTTTACAAAAAAGTAAAGAGAATCTTATGTATTTAATGTGACAGCTAATTTACAGAATATAATTAATTGATTATGGTTTATGAATAATGTTGAATACTATTAGTTGTAACGATTTATCATACTAGTCAACTGGTCATTGCGTTACATAAATGATAAATAAAATCACTGTTATTAATCTCATCACTGCAGTAATGTTTTTGTAGACGTTTAAACGACCACTGTTTTTGTTTATTAGATCAATAAATTAGCTCCAATTAAAAACTAATGGTCGTTATCGTTTTGTTTCTTTTATGTTTTTTTTTTGCAGGTTGAGTGTGACCAAAGACAGGCCAGGTCTGTGAAATGTGTCTTAGCTACCGTTTTTATTTTTGTTATAAGAAATGTAAAATTTTCTGCAGTTTCCGTATATACTTTCTTAAACAATATATTGGTGTACCAGCCGGAAAATAAGATAGAACCATTGACATTCTTATTACAATTTTATGTATCTTTATCAATTTGATAACGAAGGTAATAGAAATGGTCAACAGAAAACTTAGTTGTTGTATTTATGAATTATATATAATATGCTTGAGATTGTGAATATTTCAATTGTTCATTTTTTTGGTTTTTCCCCAATCAATTTTACTTATATATTTGGTCATATATCTGCATTTTTTTCAACAATGAATCTTAACAGATTTAAATATAAGTAGTGACACATTAATGATATTGATATAATCACTATGCTTACAAGTTTAGATAATTACCTCATATGTTTGATAAATTTTTAAATTTTAAATATTGTTTTCCCTTGTTGACATCTATAGGGTTTTTTTATTCAAAATGAAAATGTTTGCTTTCTCGTGACTTTATTTGTAATTTTGTTTACGTGTACCCGTAAATCATGAGTCCATTGGTTATCAGGTTGGTCAAACCGAATAAATTTCATTTATTTCAGTTTAGATTAACAAACATTCCCCAAACCGAAACCTAACCTCACCTAACTTTCAAGTTCAAATACAAGTAGTTGATGATGACTAATACAAATTGCTAAATGCTGATTTTCTCCAACACATTCTATAATTCACTCTTAACCTCATCGTCATGGCCATGACCATGTTTATCCAAATAAGAAACTGCCATGGCTGCGTGAAGAGCAGCCCCAACAGGAAGAGCTTCTTCATCAACAAAGAAGTAAGGCGAGTGAAGCGGCTTACCAGCGCCCAGCGTCTCATTCTTTATCCCCAGCACGAAAATCGCAGCCTTCGTCTTTTGAGTGAAGAAGCTGAAATCCTCTCCTCCCATTGTCACCGGGAAATCATGGAAGTTATTCTTTCCAATCATCGCTTCCGCTACTTTTTTACCGTGCTCGTATAAGCCCTCGTCGTTATTCATTACCGGGTGAAGCGACGGCTTTTTCTCTTCAAAATTTACTTCTGCTTTGCATCGGTATACCGATGCTTGTGCCTCCGAAATCTGCATCACCATCAAGAAACATTTAAACAGGATTATGGACCTACATTATTCGAATAATAGAACAAGATTGTAAAGAAAAATGGTGTAAAAAACATATCTCTTTACCTCTTTGATCCGTCTTTTAATGAATAGAAGCCCATCGTTGCTTAAGCTTCTGAAAGTACCTCCGAATTTTGCACTCTGCGGTATTACATTTTGAGCATGACCTCCTTCAATGTATCCAACTGTAACCACCTGAAAAACATTAAAAACCGATTTTCCATTCATTCGGTCAAGATTCTGATTCATCAAACACAATGCTTTAAAAGTGAAAAGCAAACTTACACCGGCTTCGAGTGGATCCATTTCCCGCGAAACAATCTGTTGCAAGGCAACAACAGTGGAAGAAGCTGCAAGAACCGGGTCTTTAGAGAAATGCGGTGTAGCTGCGTGGCTACCTTGACCGTCAACCGTGACTGTAAACAATCCTGCACCTGCAAGAACGGTCCCAGGCCTAGAGCCGATACCACCTGATGGGATCGATGGAAAGACATGGACGCTGAGTATCCCATCTAAGTCGTCTAGAATCTCGTCTTTTAACATTTCATAAGCACCTGCATAACCTTCCTCGCCTGGTTGAAACACAAGTTTCACAGTCCCCTTTTGCAAAAAAACCACATAAGATTCACCAAATCAGAATTTGACCGTATAGAAATTTTACATCTTAATTGCTGGATACACACACTAACAACTCTATAAAGTAGAAACACACACATAGCAATCAAAGACATACACACACATTTATATCAGAATCTTAGAAAACACTAACCCACATCGAAATGATTGCAGGGCACACACAGAATCAAACAAAATTATACATATAGATTGAGTGAGAGAGAAAAAGGAGAGACCTTGATGAGGTGTTTTCTGTTTTGAAGAAGCTTAGCAGCTCCAAGAAGCATAGCAACATGAGTATCATGACCACAAGCATGCATCTTTCCATCTACTTTACTCTTCGATTCCCATTCCACTAATTCCTATTTGTTTTTGTTTACCAATCAAAGTCACCAATTTTTCAAATTCATTAGTCAAACAAAGCAATCTAAAAATCAGAGTAAAAATCGAAACTTTGACTTAGATTTCAAGAACAAAAAACCTGTAACGGAAGTGCGTCCATGTCGGCTCTAAGTCCGAAAACAGGTTTCAAACCGGATCCGATCCAAGCCACGACGCCAGTCTTCGCCACAGGATACTTATACTTCACTCCAAGCGAGTCAAGCTCGTCTCGAACAAGTTGACTCGTTTTGAACTCCTGAAACCCTGTCTCCGGGTTCTCGTGAATCTTTCTCCTAATTCCTCTCATCCACTCGAAGAACTCAGGATCCTTCGCTGAATCTAGCATCCCACGAGCGAGTGACTCGAGACCCGAACCAGAATCATAGCTCCCAGCTAAAGACTGAAGAGGGAGAAAGAAGAAGGTGACGCAGAAGAGAAAGAAGCTCCCTGAGAAATTCATTCTGATTTTTTTTGTTTATCGATAGTGTTAATGGAAGAAACGGTGAAGACGATGATGGAGGACAGACGGAGATGGATCGTCCGATCGATTTTTTATATATATAGTACGTAATTTCTCCCACGTGTTTGCAAACTATTCCACGTGTTTTTAAATATAGGCCTCTAATGTGAAATTGATAATTTATGTTATGGCATTCTTGTTGTAATATGAAGAAAATAATGAAATACCAAGAGATAGATATAGGAAAAAATCTTTTCCTTTCGAGTAATTTGAAATTTGAATACAATGTACATATTAACAGTATAAAAGGAATATTTACTTGAAATGAATTAGTTCTTTTAATACACGATTTTACCATTTATGTTAACGTAAATTAACACTTGTGGTATAAATATCCCATGAAGAAGAGTTGTGACAAATATTAGAATGCTGATTGATGATGCTCACAAAGTCACAAGTTACACATCTCTCTTAGCTTACGACCTTACGTGTTAAGCACTGGTTTCAAAAAGCCCAATAAAAAAACAATGCGTCGGCCCATATTCAGAATCAGTCCAATAGTCTCAAGTCCAAACCCGACCCGGAAAAGAGAAGTGATTCAGATTGCGGGTTTATTAAGAGAAAGTAGGATAACAAAATTGAGGTGAAATCTAATCTTCAAATGATCATTGGTTAGCTTTTTGGATTTTCTGAAATCTTCTTTCTCATTTAGGATTCTGCTAATTGGGTAATTCTGGATCCTAATTGGGTAATATTAATATAAGATTAGATGCCTCGAATATTCTCGCTCTCTATGCCCAACCACAAAAACCGTAACTTTCCTGAAGCACCCAAAACAAGTAAAGAAAAGCATCACTCTTTTCGTCTTCTCTCTTCCTCCTTTCATCGAAAATGGCGGACAATGGTAAAGTCACGTTCTATCTCTGCTAACGTTATTTCTCTGTCTCTTTTTTGATTTCCCTATTTTCTTTCGGGCGACATTGATTTGATGCAGATTCTCTAGATCAGTTCTTGGCTGCCGCCATTGATGCCGCTAAAAAAGCTGGACAGGTCTCTCTTTCGATCTCCTTGTAGTTTTGATCGATCTTATGGCTAATCATGATTCACTATATAGCTCCTTTGGTTTCATTCTGCAGATTATTCGTAAAGGGTTTTACGAGACCAAACATGTTGAACACAAAGGCCAGGTTTTTATTTGTTTACTCCGCTCTTATAATAACTTCATTGCAAGATTGCTTATTGATTTCATCTCACACAACCACACAAAGTGGGAATGGCTACTTCGATCAAACAGTGTCAATTTTGTTTTGAAATTCTCTCCTTAAATTGTTTTTTTTTTAGGTGGATTTGGTGACAGAGACTGATAAAGGATGTGAAGAACTCGTGTTTAATCATCTCAAGCAGCTATTTCCCAATCACAAGGTGATTTTATGTTTGTTTTTGAATTCCCCTTTTGTTGTATCTTTGTTAGCTTCTCTTTCAATGCATTGATCATGAGAATTTTGCTATGAATTAGCTCATAGGAGAAGAAACTACAGCTGCATATGGTGTGACAGAATTAACAGACGAACCAACTTGGATTGTTGATCCTCTTGATGGAACAACAAATTTCGTTCACGGGTATATATCATTGCTCAATTCCCATTCGAATGATCCTGTGTGTTTCATTTGCCCATTTCATTACAAACAAAACCAAATGCTGTTTTTTGTAGGTTCCCTTTTGTGTGTGTTTCCATTGGACTTACGATTGGAAAAGTCCCTGTGGTTGGCGTTGTTTACAATCCTATTATGGATGAGGTAAAAGATTGTGTAGACCCTTCTCATTGTTCCATTGTACTTCTCACCATTATACATAGTTTCCTTGATGACATGAATGTAACGAGATGTTTCTCAATTCTTACATATTATCTAATATTCAATCAGCTATTCACCGGTGTCCAAGGGAAAGGAGCATTCTTGAACGGAAAGCCAATTAAAGGTTAGCACTTGTTCTAGAGACTTGAATATATTTGTTGATCTCTGTTTTTGGCTTCAGGAAAATAGCTATCACTTATTTAGAGACTTGAGTTCTTTCTTCTTTTGAACTCAAACGATGTTCTTTTTGCAGTGTCAACTCAGAGCGAACTTGTAACCGCTTTGCTCGTAACAGAGGTAAAATCTGGCTCCTTTATGTTAGTCTACTAAACTAGACTGCTTTGAAGCCTCCTCTCATCCGTTATGTGACCAATTGAATACAGGCGGGTACTAAACGTGATCAAGCTACATTAGATGATACAACCAACAGAATCAACACTTTGCTAACCAAGGTGAAAGTTTATTGAGAGATATTTGGAACTCCACCTTTTGGTTCTAACCTCTGCCAAAACTCATGATTGTTGTGTCCTTCATTCATCAGGTTAGGTCCCTTAGGATGTGTGGCTCGTGCGCACTGGACCTCTGTGGCGTTGCGTGTGGAAGGGTTGATATCTTCTATGAACTCGGTTTCGGTGGTCCATGGTAAATTGTCTTTTTTCCCTTGCTTGGATTAAAAAAAGTTGAGTTCTTGCACAGACAAGAATAGACCTTGATGGCATGATATCAATTTTCACAGGGACATTGCAGCCGGAATTGTAATCGTTAAAGAAGCTGGTGGACTCATTTTTGATCCGTAAGAGTTGAGATTAAACCAAACACACACTCAACCTTCCAACTGATTAACTGTTGTATGTTTTTGTTCATCAGATCCGGTAAAGATTTGGACATTACATCACAGAGGATCGCGGCTTCCAACTCTTCTCTCAAAGAGTTATTCGCAGAGGCGTTGCGGCTTACAGGGGCATGAAGTCATCTATTGTTTTACAATATGGTGTCAACTTTGTGATGAACTCAATTAAAAAACCTCACTATATGTTAGTTTGGTAACAAGAAACCAACTCAATTGTTGACAAGAAACCAATTATTTTCTTTCTTTTTAATTACTCCCCCCTTGTGAACTCAATTTAAAAACTTCATGTGTTTGGTATTGAATGAATTCGGTTCTTTCATTGTGTAACCAGATCTCTTTCAGAGCTGTCAGAAAAGAGAAGCAAAGATTAGATATCTCCATCACATTATATACTTTGCTGTATTCTCTCCATTCACAGGCAAAGAGATGTCATCTTTCGTCATCATAGCTAGCTTTTGGTTTCCTTAGAGATAGTCTCGACCTTTCTTGTTCCAAACCAGCAATGATGCTCTCTGTTGCTCTAGGCGGAAGATGCAGCCAGTACCAACGTACATTGGACTTTGAAGTACTCTTATGAATCATGATCCTAACATGAAAGAAGAGAGTGTTGTGGTTAGTATACTTTTGAGGATCGGATCATCAACCTTATCGACTCAGGCAATGAGTTGATTCTTCACCTTGATTAAACTCAGCAGATTCACTCACATAAACAAAACAAAAATAAAGGAAATAAAGCCATCGAAAAATTAGGAAACAAAGGCATCAAAAGAAAAAGGAAATTACAGAAAAAAGGAAATTTTTATGTGACCGTTAGTTGTGATTAGCAATTTCCTTTTTCTTTTAAACTTCTTTGCTTATAAATAGATACTCTCTCTCGCTTCTTCTAATTCTTTCCTTGTGAGAGAAATCAAAACTCTCTATTTCTCGATGATGATGATGATCCAAGTTTGAAGTTATCTACGAAGGCTAATCTAGGGTTACGAGCGTCTTCTTTAGGGTTAGGGCGTCGACCACTTTGGAAAACCCTAGAAACGTTGGTTCCTTCAACAGGAATGACCCTAACGTTGGCACTGGATTGGTAGGCGCTCCTTCTTGCGGGGACCTCATGAGCCTCCAGATTAACGTCGATGATTCCGGTCAGATCGTTGACACTCAGATTCGAGGCCTTTGGTTGTGGCTCTGATATCGCCTCTTCTTCCGTTGGTATGTGTATGTCTTCCAATTTTGGTCGATTCGTTTTAAAGGCATATGATCAGAGTCAGGGATATGTAGACAGGTTTTAATTTGTATATTTGTTTGGTTCAGCTTCTGAATGGATCAAGGGCAAAACCTTAGAGGAAGTTTTGACCATCAAGAATGCGTAAGTGCCCTTTAACAATCTGCCTCTTTAGATATATCGTCAGGGTTGTTATCTCTAACTCTGTTTCGGTTCTTGGAATATCCCAAATCTAGTGAAGATTTTGATGGATGAGTCATTGTTTTGGGATTCTTGAATTTGCAGGGAAATCGCAAAGCATCTAAGGTTGCCACCCGTCAAGCTACATTGCAGTATGCTTGCAGAGGACGCTATCAAGTCTGCGGTCAGAGACTACAAGAAAAAGCAATCAAAGGCTAATAATGCTGCTGCTGCAGGAGAAACCGTCAAGGCCGGATTCCACTAAATTTGAATTTGGAATGAGCTTTTTTAGGGGCTTCTTTGCTACCACTTCCAACAAGGTACATTATTCTTTTTCAATCTTATTTTTGTTTTTCTTTTCTTTAAAACTTATTTTAAGTAAACCTAAAATTAATTAGTTTAAAATTTTTCACTAAAACATTTATAAAAATAATAACACTTAAAATCATTTTTAAAAAATAATATTATTTTTCACTAAAATTTAAAAAACAAATTTAACACTTAAACTTTAAGAAAATAATTAATAAATTTTAACTAAAACCATGTTAATTTCACTATTACTTTTTAGAAATTAGTTTAAGTGTTCAATTTTAAAAACGTCGAAAACTAATCGCGCCTAGGCATCCTGTCCTTAGTTGGTCCGTAAGCTTTGGTGTTCGAAGTTCGGTAATGTTTTCACGTAATATAGATTTAACACTTAAACTCATTTTCAAAAAATAATAATGATTTACACTAAAAATTAAAACAAATTTAACAATTAAACTTAAAAAAAAATTAATGCTTTTAACTAAAATCATGTTAATTTCATTATTATTTTTAAAAAATTAGTTGAAGTGTTAAATTTTAAAAGCGTCGAAAACTAACCGCGCCTAGGCATCCTGTCCTTAGTTGGTCCGTAAGCTTTGGTGTTCGAAGTTCGGTAATGTTTTCACGTAATATAGATTTAACACTTAAACTCATTTTCAAAAAATAATAATGATTTACACTAAAAATTAAAACAAATTTAACAATTAAACTTAAAAAAAAATTAATGCTTTTAACTAAAATCATGTTAATTTCATTATTATTTTTAAAAAATTAGTTGAAGTGTTAAATTTTAAAAGCGTCGAAAACTAACCGCGCCTAGGCATCCTGTCCTTAGTTGGTCCGTAAGCTTTGGTGTTCGAAGTTCGGTAATGTTTTCACGTAATATAGATTTAACACTTAAACTCATTTTCAAAAAATAATAATGATTTACACTAAAAATTAAAACAAATTTAACAATTAAACTTTAAAAAAAAAATTAATGCTTTTAACTAAAATCATGTTAATTTCATTATTATTTTTAAAAAATTAGTTGAAGTGTTAAATTTTAAAAGCGTCGAAAACTAACCGCGCCTAGGCATCCTGTCCTTAGTTGGTCCGTAAGCTTTGGTGTTCGAAGTTCGGTAATGTTTTCACGTAATATAGATTTAACACTTAAACTCATTTTTAAAAAATAATAATGATTTTCACTAAAAATTAATTTTTTTTTTACATATTAACTAATTTACAATTGATTTTTTGCCTGTTCTTTTAAAATCCACTTATGTATATATAAAAAAAACATTAGATATTAGATTTGATACAAAAAATAGAGAAATATGAATGTATAAAAACTTCTGATAAAGTTTTTTGTGTGAATTTTGTTGTTATATCACAGTTTGAATTTATATTCGCTGTAATTTATTTTATTTTAAATTATAATTTTTACAGTCTTTGGAAATTATATTTTAACAGTTAAAGTATTTTAAAGTTAAAGCTTTTACCGTCAAAATTTCTCACAGCTTAACGGTCGTTACAAATCGTGGGCCTTTACCAGAGGAAAATGGAGATAATGAGCCTGGCCCAATTACCGACCCAGAGGCAGCCCGAAAGTCTCAAGTCTAAACCCGACTTGGATCGACCCGACCCGTAAACGAGAACAGATTGCGGAGAAGAACGGAGTGAGCCAGGAATTTTGATTCTCACGGTAAGGATTTAGGGTTTGTTTTGTGTATAAGGAATTTCTCAGATCTTCGAATTTCTTCCGAGGTTCTGATAATTTGGGAGTTGCGTCGGTTGCTTCGAAGGAGAGTGATGGATGCTCAAGCGAAGAAGAAGGCGATGTTTCGCTCTAAACTCAACGCCAAGAAGAAAGACACCCGCATAGATTCTCCTCTCGTTAGGTAAACCATTGTTGCTTCTTCTCTTCGTTTCGATGTCACTTCTGGGTTCCTGCGAATCCAAAAATCCCCGCTTAGAATCTGTGGGTTCTGGGAATGGGCTTGAATTGTAGTTATAGGCGATTAGAAGTTGTGCTGATGATTATGTTCTTTGGATTTGTAGGTACAACGAATCAGACCAGCCTGTGTGTCGAGTTTGCAATGTCGTCTTGAAATCTGAATCACTCTGGGATGTTCATCAAGCTTCTCGTAAGCACCACGAGGTAAAGTTAGTGTCTTCTGCTCCATAAGCTTACTTCACAATTTCTTTTAACATGAGTAACAATGGGATATTTGATAAATTACTATTGAAGATAGGTAGATTTCATGCTCTTTTATTGATTATGGATTGCTACTGAATCGTATAGTAGCTGGCAAATAGAGTCTCTGTTTTATCTTCTTTAATCTTAGTAACTTAGCTTTCGTAATTTAATGTTGGGACAGGCAATTGATAATCTGAAGGCTAGTGCTGCGGGAGTTCAACGGGGTAGTAAACCTGCCGAAACTCGGCCAGCAAAAACTGAAGCTTTGGCTAAATCATCCAAATCTCAGACATCATCTGGTCTTCCGCCAAATTTCTTCGAAAATCTTGAGCCTGCTAGAGGTAATGGCTTATGCACTTTCCTCTTCTTGTTCATATCTTTTTCTCAACCAGTCAAGTTTTACCAATACATTTCTTAGTCGAAGAGTTTTGGTTTAGTTGCTAGTTTTGTGGATGACATGCTAAAAAGGCTGTAATCTTAGGATTTTGAAATATTATTATTGGTAGCTTCATTTGTCAATCGAGTTTCCGTTATTGTATCGCATGGCAAAAACAATATGTGTTCAGAATCTGCAGAAGTAGAACCAGCAAAATCCAAGAATATAGAGCAATCCAAGCAGACTATAGGTTCAGAAACAAACAATTCAAAGGGACCTCTTCCAGCCGGATTCTTTGATAATCAGAAAACTGATTCTTCAAATACCAAAACCACCAGTGAACCTAAGCAGAGTCAGACACAGACCACTGGTTCAGAAACAAAATCTGTGGTGAAAGGAAACCTTCCGACCGGGTTTTTTGATAATAAAGAAGCTGACCTGCTTGCCCGTGGAATAAAGCTTGTCAAACCAGATATCAAGTGAGTTTCTATTTTTTTGCTTTTACTTTTCCAGATGCAGAAAATGAAATTGAAACCTCATTGTTGTGGTCCAGTTACTTTCTTACATTCTCAATTTGAATGGGTCATATGATCTTATGGGCTTGTACCTAAGAATTATCTTCGTGAACTTATATAAACATGGATCTTCTTACAGGGATGAATATAAAGAATTTGAGAAGTTGATACAAGATGATCTGCAGGTAGTGGATAGCCGCATGGAAGAAGAAGAGGTCAGATAACTCTCTGTAACTATGATAATTTGCTGACAGTATCATAAGCTCTTTCTTAAACTTAAAATCGCTTTTCTCGCACTCTAATTCTCAGGTTGATGCTGCGGAAACTATAGAAGAGGAGGAACAACGAGAGCAAAGGTGATTTGATACATAAGTTTGTTATAGCAAGAAGATGAAAATATTGAAACTTGTTTAAGATTAAGTAAGATTAAGTAAACACTTAGATCTCCTTTTCATCTTTTTCTGCAGATCATACAAAGAGAAAGTAGAGATTCTAAAGAGGAGGAAAATGGAACTTAAAGCAGCTAGATTAGCTAAGCGTAGTAAAACCTCTGAGGGGTCTGTTAAAAAGCCGAAGAAGACCGAGGAAGAATCCCTCAGCGATGAGGAGGATGACGAGGATTCCGCTGTTGATTGGAGAGCTCAACATCTTTGAATAAAACTATAAAAGACTGTTTCAAAATCTGTACCCTGGTAAAACATTCAATGTTCTCTTAGAATATACAGTGAAAATGAATCAATCTCATGATATAGAATTATCTGCAGTTTCAGAGGATCAATTGGTATTTGAGCATAGATATCGGTTAATGGGTATAATTCAAGAACGTAACTTTCATAACCAGAGTTGCCAAAAAGGCCGGAATATTCGGAGAAGAGACCTGAAACTGTGGCAGTTTCGAGCAGTTTCAGGTGGTAAACTCAAAAACTGATTAATGACTGGTGGTCGTATCATTCTAGTTTTGAGTTAGAATGTTTCAGATTTTGATCATTTTGGTGGCATATAATGACGGAAGTGGAAAATTTAACAATCATCTTAAAACACTATGTATTAAACAAATCAATGTGTGTATATAAATAATTAAGACATTTCCAGAAACCAATTAGGGGTCAAATATGTCTAGGAACTAATTAGGGGTCAAGTATTCAAGAAGGAAGACCACTAACTAAACATATTCATACTTAAATAAATTTTTGGACTGTTTGTGAGTGCCAACCATATGGTTATATAACACATAAAAATTGCATCAGGCTTTCCATTATAAACCATTGACATTGAAATATTAAAATCGAGATATATAACCAAAAAAAACAAGGAAATCACAAGGTTATGTTATCTTGTTTATTACTGGATAAGGAGTCCACAAAGCAAAAGAGAGAACAGCCAAAGCAAAGGTCGGTTAATCCACAATCGATGATATAAACTAATTCCCCATTAGAACATAAAACTAGTTAACTAATTTCTTCTGACCTAACTGAATGCACTCAACTCCTAAAAATACCTTAACATTATCTAGTCTTGACTAATCATATGGTTTTAATTGTCACGTGAACTTTTATAATAGTAAAGTGTTTGCACAACGGGAATCAAAGTTTTGGGACATTTCAGTTTAGAGTCTGTCTATCCATCATGACACTTGTAGCACACAACTTGTTTTTTTCTAAATTGTTTTGGATCACTTTTATAGACTTTTCTTATAAAATATCGTTTTTCCGAATTTGTTGATGAATATAAAAATTGTTTTGACGTTTAGAGTCTTCATGTGAATATTAAAACGAAACAAAAAAGAGACATAAACACATATATATACACACACAACTCGACCTACATGGCTACATAACCAAAACAAGAACTTGTAAAATACTACACACAATCATAAGTATTTATCCTTTTTTTTTTTGTGAAAAATAAGTATTTATCCTTATGATCTCTAATCTCTTATGCATGTGTAAACGTGATAAAA